GCCCGTCTCCCGACCCGTGGTGACCTCTGCACGATGCCGTGGCGTGGGATAATGTGCCGGCGGCTCCGTCGCCGCCGCGTGATCGGCCGGCGACTCGGGTCCACGCGAGGCGTCGGCAGTCCTCTGGCCAGGGCGGGAAGCGCAGGTCCGGGCCGGTGCCTGACCTTGCCGGTCAGGTCGGAACCGTCGTGACATTCGTCACAAAATGATCCGGATAGTCCTCATGTTGGCGTTTCCACGCGTAAAACACGCTTGAAGACCGCAGTTGAAGGCTGGGTGTGATAGAGAGAAGGTCTGATGGATCAGTACATCGACTGAGCGCACTTCGCATCACTCCGGACTGAACTGAACTCGCCACAAGCCGAGACAGCAGCAGGCGAGCAGAAAGGCTCTAGATAGCACCGTTGGCCACGCCTCCTCCGTTTCTCAGGCCGCCGATCCCTGCCACCCCGCCAGCGGGCCGGCCGTCGTCCGGAGCGGCCAGCTGCCGGAATCCCACGGCCCATTGTGTGCGGCGTCCGGGCCCGACGACGCCGGCGAGCCGGACGCCTGTTTGCCTCGTACCGGTCCGCCGGCGGCCGCTCCTCCCGAGGAGCGGCACGTCCAGGCCGCCGCCTGTAAAAACACGCCGCGCGCCGGCACTTTCACTCTCGGTGAGGTCAGCAGTTCGCTGGGCGGCTGACGGACGCTCGCCGCCCCTCTTCCTGTCCGGCCGGCGGGCCGGCCTCCACGCGAGAAGCCGGCCGTCGGCGCCCGTCGGTCTGTCGCCCGCCCTCCCGACACCGGTCACCCGGTCATCGTAGAGAAATGGGAGCTTGTCGCAGGCTCTCGCTCTTGTGCGGCGTGTCTTTGCGTTGCCGTGCGAGGGTGTCGTCCCTGTACGAGCGCCAACTCATGAATTCATTTGCCTGATTCGCGGTCTAGTTTCGTGGGCGGTGGTTTCCTCATCGCGCCCGGTCGTGTGACATCAATAAACGAAGCTGCCGTCTGAATTTCCCAGCTGATGTCATGCACCAGTTTCACGCACGCCACCGCCACTGCAGAAGCCGCTGACGCGGGCTCATTCCCAGAGCGGCTTTGGACTGGTTGCTTTATCAGGCCACACGCCGCGCCGTTCCCAGGTCCCAGCGCTGCAGGGTGAGGCGGCGGCGGCCACCGATGCCTCCCTCCCCTCTGCCCGCCCTCCCGCGGCTCGCCGTCGCCGGCACTAAGTCCTCCCCACGGTCGGCGTGTTGGCCCACTGGCTAGCGCCGCCCTGAGAAACCGGTTATGATGTCATCTTAGCGGTGGCTCGTCGGCCGGTAAAAGATGCTGGCTGCTCTGCCGGCAAGGACAATGTTTGTAATCATGCATGCGACGCGGATTGCGAGGGCTTGAGGTCCTTGCATGGATTAATCTAATGACATTCTGGGCGTCACTGCCGAAAGGCCCTGAAAACACAACGCTGCATGGCTGTGCTCACTACTCGCATTTTCAGAAGCGTGGTACGATTTCTTTGCCCGTCGGAGCACCTTGAAGTTTGACCGTGGGGCGCGAGTTCCCGCGCTGGGAGCACTTCCTCACCTTTAACAGCCGGTCAGCCTTGGCGCCTGCACCGCGCGCGCCACTGCCTCTGCAGCGCCGCGGCCGTGATCACGCAGGCGGCAGAGCCAGCCACCGTGACGGAAGCGGGCCTGGCGAGAGCCGTGCAGGCGAGCGGCGGCTCGCGCTCGACCCTCTCGACGGCGCCGCCAGCTGCTTGACCCGTCCGTTATGCGCCGGCCAGCGGCCAGCCGGCTCGTAACGGTCGGTTACCCGGACCGACGGTCTCGGCGGCGGCAGCCGGTCGGGTCGGCTCCCAGCTGGCGGACCTCAGCCAAGGCCAGGCCCCCACCAGGCCGTCCGGTCCGGAGGCGCCGCACCGCTTCTGGATTTAGACCCGGCGCTCGTGAGACGTCTCTGAGCGCGGCGCAGCGGGTCGACGAGCTGGTGCAAGACTTTGCCTCTGCATTGGGGTCTCGGAATAGCCCCACCAGAGCGCAAATCTGAGATCCAAGCTGCTAATCCGCGCGATGAGAAGCCTTCAGCTCGTCGCCACGTTCGGAGAACCAGTCTGGTCCCCAGCGAGAGCAGATCACTGACTGAAGCCGTGCCATCGCAGCTCGTCAGCGAGCCGCGGAGGGACGACTCTCCGGCTCCACCCGAGCGCTCGTGGTTATGTCACGCCCTGAAGTGGGTCAGCTGGTCGGTCCTGAGCGTGGCCGTTCGTGGGAGAGCGGGTCGGATCCGGACGGACGGACGGCGACGGGATGCGCCTAATTTAACGGGCCGGTGGGGTGACCGAGCGGGACAGAGCCTCTCCCGCCAGCCGCCGCCGCCGCTACCGCCGCCGCCGCCGCCGCCGCCGCCGCCGCCGCCGCTCGCCGCGAAGGTCCCGGGCTCAGCTACCTCCGACAACCTCTGTGAGGACGCCAGTCGGATGGTATTGTGGTTCCGCTGTTCGGAATGTGGGAGACTTCACCGTGGATCGCGCGTTCTCTGATTCTTCAAGACGATCTCCAGCACTCCGCGGGATGCTCGGCGGATGGAGCACTCGGCGCACTCTCAATGGACCGCGTTTCAACGACTCCGCCAGTCTGTACAGGCAGCTCGGCGTCAGGAGTCGACCGGTCGGGTGAGGCCGCAGTCCAACGTCGTGCGTTTCCATCACTACACACGTTCTGAGAGAGAATCTTCCAGAAGCTCCGATGGCCCGGAGGGGGCCGCGCTCCGAACACCGGCGACGTTCACCGAACACCTGAACACCGGCGACGAACACCGGCGCTCTGAACACCGGCGAAGTTCGGAGCCGAGCGCGCCACCGAGCGACGGCTCCCCCTGGTCGGCCCCCGGGTGAGCTGCAGCGCCAGGCTCAGTGTGTCTTGTCCTTGGCGCGTCGGGATAGTTGATCAAGCGTGTCCTCCGCGCGCGCTCTCCCGGTCGCTGGTGCTACGGCTCGCTCGCTTGCTCAAGAGCGCTGTGGAGGACATGGCGGCGTTCGGGGTCAATCGATCCGGCCAAGAGCGTTGCACGTCGTTAGCAGTAAGTTCACCTGTTGATGCAACCGTGCAAGCACTGATGCGCGTGCTCTCCTAAAATTGCTAAACGCAGGCTTGGATACAGTCAGGAAACTGCGCCGTTGAAGACGATCGTCTGACCGGCCGTTTTAGGTCAATCACTTTCTGGGTGTACTGCCGTTTCCACCACCGCTTCGCTCTACCTGCGATCTGCTGCTGAAGTGTCAACACACAACCATGCCATACGCTCCGATTCAGCTGCACTGGTGCACTGGCATAAGCGGATGTGTCAGTCGTTCGGGTCGGATGCGCGGTCGACGCCAGGTAACGGGTGCACTCCCCCCGGCGTGTCCGGCCCGGCGCCCCAGGACCGGTGACGGTCGGCGGGCTCTGCTGCCGGCCAGGCCCGCTACCGCATGAGGTAATGTTTGTTCGGATGTCCACTGCTCGTCGGTGACCGCGGCTACTTTCTAACCCGCGCCGACGACGGGCCTGCACGGCGTGCAGCGGCCGCTGTGACGAAACGGTGCCGACCCCGGCCGGTGGACGGTGTTCCCTGACCTCCGCCGGAGTCAGCACACCTGCCCGCCGGCTGCAGAGGCGCCGAGACACGCGCGCCAGCCGGCCGCCAAGCAGCTGCACTGACAAGCAGGCTGCATTACATACCGAGCTTCGCAAGCAAAGGAGCGAATGGAAAATACTAATGGTTGACAAAGAGCATGGAGTGCGCAACCCTATAGGCAAGGATGCGTACGTGCTTCAACTTGGGCGTAGCAAGCATTTGCACAATGGACTGGGGTGAAACCAGTTTGTTGGCTCAGTGTACACGATGTTGATAATGTTTGCTCAAGTTGCGTAGGGAGCGGCAGGTTAAGGCGCAGTTTAAATTTCACCGTAGGTCTGATGTTTGAAGCCATTGCGAACGTCAACACCATAGTGAAATGTTTGCTTTTTCTATCTCTTTCATCATTTTCTACAAACGATGTATCGAAGCGATGATGCATCAAGGCCACTTTTTAATGGTCACGACCGATGTGCATAGATCACTCAATATACGTTCTTAACTGAAATTCTACTCGGATGAGGACGCGCTGCCGGAATAACCGATGAGCCCGACTCCAACGCTTGGCATCTACCTGCCTTCCGCTTCACCACAACTTTTCTGGTATCTCCTGGTTAATACGATATTGGTATTGTGTCTGTGTGTGGGGGGGGGGGGGGGCTGCAAAAGTGAAAACGCGATTGCGCTGCACCAGTTTGGTGAACGGACCGGAAGGATGACACATGACATCGGTGAAATATTTGGCGCAGTTGCCAGTTGCGAATGTGCAACAGCTCGAAACATGCTGCACGAAGCCCGTTAGACGAATGGAAAGCGGTGTGTGCCATGTTGCCGGGTCACCGTGCCCTGCCCAGAACCCTCCCTCCGCCCAGAAACGCAAGCTTCCGTGTGGGCTCGGTTCGTCGGCCGCGGTCGTCGGAGCCCGGCGTGAGCGCTCTGCCGGCGGTGGCTGCGGCCGGGCACCGTCAGGGCTGTCAACTGCGGCCCGGTGACCCAGGTGGCACTTCCGGGCCGTCGTCCTCCGTCGCCGCTCCCTGTCCCGATGGCTGCCGCGCCGCCGCTGGGACATGTGGGTCGCGCCGTCATCGGCGCGGCGGAACTAACGACGATGGAGCGGCCGCAGGACGGGACGGCGCCGCGCCCGCCGGCCGGCCCTCTTGTTCCGCCCTGGAAGGCGCCCGTCACTCCGGCGCCGCTGGAATCGGGCCAGCTGGCGACGGGCCAGCGCCTCTCGCCCACCGCAGGCTGTAACACGCTCGGTAGCGGCTCCGGGTGGCTGCCGCAGCACCTGTGCGGCGCGGAGGCCGGCTGGGCGGGGCCTCACGACCGGCGCGGTCACGAGCGGTCTCCGTGCTTCCGTGCGATCGCGACATCCCGCGCTCACCACCGTCGCTTCGTTGCAGGTCTGGTCGCGTCGCAGGGCTACTACGGGAAGAAGCTGGGCTCGCTGAGCACCTTGGAGCATGGCGTCAGCGGCGAGGTGTACGCCGTCGACTCGCGCACGATCCACATCAGGAACATGAAGTACGACGGCCAGGGGCCAGGTAAGCCCGCGACCAGCACGCCTCTCACCCCGACCGAACTAAGCCGTCCGCCAGCTCGTCTCTCCTCGCCAGCTGCAGCAGGGTGGCCCAGAGACCAAAGCAGCATGCTGCAAGTGATCGGTACTGTCATCGTGAGGGCCGGGAAATGTTTGGGGCTTCGTAAGCGGAACGTCGGGTGAGGGCCGAGGTCAGCGTGGGGGTCAGGGCTCCTGGACTGACCTCTCGATCGGCCGTCTGGCCGTCAGCCACGTCAGCGGACCGGGCGGCGCGGCCGGCATGACAAGGCAAGCGGGGTTTTGCAACATGGGAACGGAAGAAAGTGACGGGATCGCTGCAGCGTGCCATCACTGCCGGGTTGTTTGCTGAGTGCCGCCACGCTTCGACGGTCACTGAGGGCATGCCCGTGCCCATGTGAACGCATTGGCTTTGCTCAGCCTTGAGAAATTATGAAGGGTGATCGGCGATGTTCAGTGCCTAGGCTCACTTCGAAGTAGTGTCCCACTCGATATGTGTCATCTACGAACCACTGTAATTCGGATTAGGACTGCGCTGCGGGTACGATCAGCGCGCACGGCAACTTCCTGGCTTAACTCGCGAAACACATCTAAAGCAGACGTTCTCTGCCTGAGCGGCTGGCGGGGCCCCGACTACCCGTGCCGTAATTGTGATTGATCACGTTGATCCGGCCGCTGAACATGAGGCATCAGCCCTGGCCACGGTCGGCAGCGCGAGCCGCCGGCAGCACCGCGTCAGTTGGCGTCGTGCCAGGATTCGCCGTTCGCGGTGCTTCACTCGGTCCCGTTACCATCGTTACCGAGCGCTCTTCCCACAGCGCCATCGAGCGAGCGCTCACTCCGGCAGCGCTTTGAAGCGCGGAGTCATTCTTGTGGGCTCGGATAGCTGGCGGACGCATGCCAGAACCGGCGCTGTCGGAAAACCCAGGGGTATTTCAGAAACCGCACAAAGCCCTGGTTATCGCCAAAAGCTTTCCGAAATCGGCTGAGGCGCCGCAACGGGGCGAAGTTTACCTTAGTCGTTTATAAAGATTACCGTAGATACGGGAGAGCGAGCGCAAGGAAAGTGCCCTGACGCTGTCTGATACCTCACGCATGGGGAGAAATGCCAGGGCGGCGACATTCCCAGTGCCGATTGGTATCAATTGTTAGGGAAATGTTCTGCTGACACTGGGCGTTGATTTGATTTGATCCATCGCATGAATAAAACCGATGTGGAGGTGCACGCAAGAAGATAACGGTACCTTATTTACAAATCTGGATTAGAAGGGTTATTGGATGGAAGTCGACATAACATAAGAGCATAGAGGTGTCATTATCATGGCACTACTTGAGATGCAGTCACGGTTGTCACGAACTAAAACATGTCACGAAATAGCTAGCAAAACTAGACGATATCACGCAGTATCACGGTAAGCTAGCAAAACTATCTGTACGTCATGGTCATTTGAGTACGCAACCTTGGTGTCGGAAACCGGCGAAATTCTGCTGCGGTATAGCTTATTACTATGGACGCCCTGGGACAAACGAATCTTGCTTGAACAGAGATAGCATTGTGAACGCGAGGATTCGGCTGTTCGGCCGGTTTAGACGTTACCTTTTCTAGACGGCAGTGTCTTTGAATTGCTGAGCATAGCTTCATACGGCTTTCAGGAGCGATAAGTAAGTCACCGAAAGTTGTTCGATATTAATTTGGAAAGGTATACACGTAATTCGTTGGATCAAAGTGATTTTCTGGTAATATCACAATGCAAACAATACAAACGCTAGACTAATCAGGCTGGAGTGACCTGCAGCAGGGCAACTCAATACGAATTCCCAAAGTCGATCAACATGGAAAACGTGACATACCGTAAGCGCTGTGACCAGGCGTGTACGACCTTGCGTCACAGTGCGATGAGGTCAGCACTGCTCGACGAATCAGAGTGCGGATAATCTTAGTGTCAGGACAGTGGCCAGTAAGCAGCTGCTCACGCGCTCGTGACCACACAGCGTTGGGTCTCCCGTTTTAAGGCGTTTTGAATCACTGATGTCAGATTTCGGCCACGGGGAAATACAGATGTAAAGCTAATCGTTTGGCATAGGTAAATGCACTATCAACACAGCATGTATGCATTGGGTGCAGTAACCGGGGTATTGGAAGAGGTTTACAGCCTTTCTGCTGTTCGTATCAGTTTGAAATTTTTCGTTTGGTGATGCTGAGAAAAAGTCGAACTTGACATGACCCCTGCTGCTAAAGCTAACGTCTGTTATCACCTGGCTCTTCTCGCAGCGCGCGGCGTGTCGCCTGTTAAATTATGAATCATGTTGAGCCAATTAAGGAGGGTTGAGGATACGCGTTTTGCCTCCCGTTTTGCCAACGCTCATGTGTGCAGGGCTGTCTGTCAAGATGCTCTAATCCCTAGAAGTAACCGGCGTGCAGGATGTGAACTACGTGAGTCACCTTTCCAAGTGAATGGGGCTGGTTATTGCCTGATGGTGACAGGCCTAGCGTGCCCCGGTGGATGTGGGCGTTGACATGTTCCTAGCATGTTTCGTCACTAGCACTCAAGCGGAAATCAGCAGCAGTGCAGTGCAAGGTACGTACGAGCTAAGAACTCCGAACCAGCCATGCATGCGATAGCACGCACGTAATACATTGCCTGCTCCGCCAGGCGTGTAGTCGCTATCGCACAATGTGACCGGCGACAGCCGATTCTGCAGCCTGATCCTGACCGATGATTTCACCTGTTTCAGACGCCTTCTTCTACGTTGGTAGCGGGTCGAAACCGTCGGGGCAAGGCTTCATAGTTCCGGATGAAAATGGCAGGTGAGTCACTTGCGGCTTGGGCATTGACTGTTGGCTGGAAAGTGTGGTGTGCGTCTGTGATGTCGGATGGTTCAACCGGCATACAGCTTGCGTAACATTGCGTCTTAACTCGTATGCCGCAGTCGTAAGCATTCGACTTTACTCCACTGCCGCTAAGGCTGACGCCCCATGACTAGAGGACCGGAGTCACGCTAGGCGCGTCATTCGGTGGCGGCGCAGCAGCGCCTGGGCACAGGCACCGTTTCGGCTGTATGTCGTACGGTGCTGACAGACACTGGAGTTAGCCAACACCCCTCAGCCCGGTGCAGCTGGCTCCCACGCCGTCGCGGTCGGCGGGAGACTGGTGCGAAACCGAAGGCTCGTGCCCCCCCCCCCCCCCCCCGGTCAGCACGCCGTGAAGGTCAGCGGCGGCGTGAGGTCAGGCCGGACATGGGTCTGACGGCCGGCTGACGACCGGGAGGTCAGGTCAGACACGGACCTGACGGCCGGCTGACGGCCGGGAGGTCAGGTCAGACACGGACCTGACGGCCGGCTGACGACCGGGAGGTCAGGTCAGACCAGACCTGACGGCCGGCTGACGACCCGATCCCTGCTGAGCCAGCCATGGTGGACCTCTCCGGAGGCGCCGTCTGCTCCTGACCCGGTGCTGGGCCCCCGCCACGGCCAGGACTGCTGCGATTCCCTGACCCGGTGGCGGTAGACCGCCGACAGGGCCGGAGCCGTTGTCTCGTCCTGGCCGAGAGGCCGTCCTGGTGAACCCCGCCGGATCCAGCAATGCTGCTCCTCTTGACTTAGTGGTGACCCTGTTGTCCGTTCTGACCCAGTGGTGACTCTGTTATCTGTCCTGACTGTGGTGGATCCCGCCGGGGCCACAGCTTCTGTCTCTCCTGAACCAGTGGAGACTCTGTTGTCCGCCCTGACTCTGTGGTGGATCCCGCCAAAGCCAGTGTTGCCCGTCTTGAGTCAGTGGTAGAAGATCGCCAGGAGCATAGCTGTGAGCTCCGCTAAGCCAGTGATGGTCTGCGTTTTCTGTCGGCCAACGCCGATTTGCGAGCTGGGATGGCATATCAAACGTGACGATAGCTCACGTCATGGATTTGTTAACAGCGAACGTCAACGCTACTCTCAATGAAGCTGTTGAGTTGACTGTGACCGTGATTCGTAACCACTTCATGTCCGTGCTGCCGAAACTGAAGTCTGGATCTATGCCGGCTGTTGTAAAATAGCACGCCATATTCAGTCCGAGCTGAGATTTGCCGAGCTGGCTTGGCATCCCTTGGAACAACTGGCGTTATTGATGAACATATTTTGTCGCGATTTGGAAACGCAGCGGTGTGCGCTGAGTGGAAACATTTCTATGAAGTATGTCCAAAGTTATGTTCCTGGATATCCGTACAGAGAGCCGTAGACACATATTTGCCGCCGGTTTCCTTTCCTGCCACGGTTAAATATATAGGCATGGGGATAAATAGACGAAGCGACTGAATTCTTAACAGCAAAAAGTGCACTGTACAATACGCAAGTCAGGAAAGCTGAACAACGGCTTGGTAACCAGCGGGACTGCAGCAAGCAATTCTGATGACTGAACTGATTACTACAGCAAGGTTAACTGGTGATACGAACAGGAATGTGATTGCATAAAAGGAATATCAAAAGTATACTTGTGCAAAACAATGCATGGACTGAGATCGAATTGAATCCAGGCAAAACCGCACCTGTACACAGCTTTACGTCTTGAGTTAAAATGGAGCTGGCGTTCGCACAGACTTTGCAACCGGTTTTGCAACAAGTGCATCATAGGCATGACTTGCACATGGCGCAACGAGGCGGAATCAGTCAGGAGTTCATAGTGCTTTCGTCCGATGAAATATCTACGAGCGCTTCACATATTGAATTGCTCACTTCACTTCGGTCCATCCACATCCGTACACATTCGTCTAACCATGTGCAATGCTGCATCCTGTAAGTTTGGTATTTATAAAACTGACCTTTTCTCATTTAGTTCCTGGTAACAGTTTCGTACTCAACTTTTCATTCTCACATGATAAGCAGGGAGCTCTGATCGCAACGATTGTCTTCCGGCCCTAGCGCATCCCGAGCAGGTTTTTTTTAAACCACACTTCCACACCAGAGAGGGTGTGTTTTTTTAAGATGGTCACTATATACATTTGTTCGGCCGTTGCGCCACGGACTAAAACACTGCATTATATGGAAGCATCACCACCGCAATCTCGCTTTCCGTATGCCAGGTGCCCAGGCTAAAACGCTACTGAATTATCACGACGTAAGGAGAGAGCACCTGCCAAGGAGAAGGGTGTCACGTCAGAGGGGATGACATGCCGCGGCTATACGCCTATTTATCTGCAGACCTATTTTTGGCGTACCCTGACGACTGTAATGACTTTACCTTGAACGCCTCGTTGCATATTTTCTTTACTCCAGCTGTTATAAATGTTTTATCATGAAGACTGAGCCATAACTTTGTCCACTAGTCGCTGGGTGCTTTGACTGGAATCGCACAAGCAATCGTATCAGTTCGGTTCCGTCCGAACACTCCGGGTAACCAATGTCCGTACAACACGAATGTGACCCGTGCATCGTATTTGCCCACAGCGTGGAGCCGCTGGGAGCGTACCGCAACAAGCACGTGACGCTGACGCTGCCCAGTGGGGTGACACTGGACAAGGTCCAGTGGGTGTCCGTCTGGTGCCGCGCCTTCGCGGTACGTACAGCCGTCGCCGACCGCCGTGCTCGCGCGGGCCTCTCATGTTCGATTCTGGCCGTGCTGCGTCGCGGAGTTAGAGTTCAGCTGGTTTCACAACTGGGAGATCAGCTACGTGTCGCGTGTGGCTGACGTTCTGCTCCTACGTCCCTGTCCATCCCCGACTTGGATTGGACTTGACTCGGCCATTGTCCGTGGGACATTCCACTGCTGACACCGGGGAGGGCGGGGGAGGGGGCGAGTCTGCCTCTTTCCTCCCGTGCCTCCGATCGGCCTCGTGTGGATCACCTCCCCGGTGACCAGCCCACGCGCAAAGCGAAGCCAACGAAACCCGACCGCCACGAAACGTTACGCAAGTTAGCAAACGCGAGGCCACTGGAATCCTGTCGGCACTGCGGTGTCCAAACGCAGGGTCGTGGTCAGCCAATAAAGCGTCGGCGTTGGTTAACATCTGCCACACTGGTCAGATCGGAGCCAACAGACGCAACAAGAACAAAAACATCGCAATCTCACAGAACGGGCTGAAGCACCTGATACACGTTGAGTGCCCGGTTTTGTCCGGCCCATTTCCGACACCACTTTCATTAAAATCATCACTAAAATCCAGCCCACGTGGCACGCTGTAACATTCTGCGTTGCGCCGCTGACCAAAAGCACAGCTCACCTTCGTCTCTTACAAAGCCACGCACCCTGCGTGACACGTGTCGCCAGCTCGTGTAACCGCCAGGGTCACAGGGTTCCCGTCGCCGCGGGAGCGGATTACGGAATAAGCGGGGCCGAGGGTCGCTACTCACGACACGTGCCCTATTGCCCGGGTGGTGGGGACACGCCCCTCCCCGCGGCGGCCAGGGTCGGCGTGGGCCAGAGGCGGTGTAATCTGTTTCATGGCTGGTTGGCTGGTTGGCTGGTTGGCTGGTTGGCGAGTCGGCTGATTGGCTGGTTGGCTGGTTGGCTAGTTGGCTAGTTGGCTAGTTGGCTGGTTGGCTACTTGGCTGGTTTGCTGGTTGACTGGTTAACTGTTTGACTGGTTGGCTGGTTGACTGGTCGACTGTAAAGCGTCGCTGCGATCACGTCTAGCTGTCTGCGTCAGCTTTATAGCCGATTATAATCATAAACGCGATGCGATGAACGTCACGAAGCGCCCACCCACGCGGCGTCCCACGCCAAGACCTAGTCGAGACCACACGACGCTCTCCGCTGGTAACGTGGCACGCAGCCCCGCCCTGCTTGGGAGCGTTATGCCGCCTCTGGTCGGGGAACCGCTGCTCGGCACCGGACCTGACTGAAGCCGGGGGGGGGGGGGGGGGGGCGGCCGGTAACGCCGGCTGACCGCCGATGAAAGGCTTCGTGTGAAGGACAGGGCGGAACGGGCGCTGCCGTCGCCGGGACACTCCGAGACGGGATGCACCTGGCTGAACGCTGACCCGGGCGGCCGCCAGGGGGCGGGGTGGGGAGGGGGGGGGGGGCTGTCCGTCGGCAGGGATTCCTTTAGGGGATGTTTGATGTACGCGCTTGTGACTTTTCTGCGATAGTGCCTTCGCCGGTTTCGTTTTGTTCATGCATAACATTGCTCGTGAAGAACTTGTAAAACATTCATGGACCCGTAGCGTGTCTTAAACGCCATGTTCCGCCAACATGACTGGTAAAAACGAAATGACTACCACGGGGGCACTGAGACGATCTCCCAATTGTACTGAAGCCATTTTTATCACTTAAGCTCGTTTAGTACCCTTCGAATGAAATAGCACGCGTCTAGCTCCATCTCCCGTTTTCCTGGCGTGACTTGCTCCCGTCACCAGTTGGCCCACTCTGTGCTATAATCTGCTACCATTTTATGGCCACTCCTGACGCATTTCAGTCCACACACGTCTAGCAATCTGCTTTATTCGTCGCTCAGTTTCACTATCTTCAGGCACTAAGACACTATCCAGTCGCAACATCACCTCAACAGGATAAAAACGATCTACCTGAAGCGCTGAAAATGCGGCGCGGATGCTCAAAAAGCCTCTTTATGCCATCCCGGAATTACCTTCGAGCTAACCGTTACTCTTTAGAGGACGCCATGCATTTGGTGCGGACTGTCCGACGTGAATTTACAAACAAAGCTATCACGGTCAGAATCTGAGCAAACAACCCCACAATGTGCGTCCTTGGCGCATTTCCTTAGCAAAGATAAAGGGATATATCAAGCTCTTCCATCAAACTTACATTACGACTGCGGGGCGTAAAAACGGTCGGTAACTTCCCGTGGGCTCGGCGTTGTGCGCGTGGTCACGCTCGGTAACCCCCTGCCGGGCTCCCGGAATGTGCGGGGATTTACCGCCGAGGCTGAATTCTGCGCAGCCGAGCGGCGCCGGTCGCAGACAGCCGTCTCAGGCTGAATACACTATGCAAATTTCGGTGTTCAATCAGCACTGTCTCAGCAGAACATAACGATGAAAAGGTGCCAGTCACGGGTGGGAAATCCCGGCCCACTCCCGGGATTTTTTTTCTGGCAGCTGCAGTTGGAGGTTTCCGGGAAAGGCTGGTGTGGTATATTTGCTGGACGGATGTTTTTCAATGAGACATGCAAAAATCGCACCTATTCTATGGAACGTTTGTGTGACTTGTCTTTCAGTCATACTGATTGTACACCGATGATGGTCGCGTTATTTGGTATTCATAATTGCTCAATTTATCAACGTGAGCTACAAGACCGATACAAAGACATTGCTTGTTAGTAGCATTCCATGACGCGTCAGCAAAACTTGCTTGGCAGTTATAGATTTAGAACACATATTGATTGGCAGTGACTTGTGACTTTTCTCTGGTCGACAATTGTGTTATTCATTTAATCATACTCGGTATGCATATGTTATCAAACAATACCGAATGTTTCCACTTCTGAAATCCGTTAAAAATCCCGAAGAACTCACGGGGTCGCTTATAAAGCCGTATGCGACGTATTGGATTTGCTCCATTTCAGCGCGAGCCGCGGAGTAGAAGCACGCCATTAATTCAACTGACAGACAGCTGATTGACGACTGATCAAGAACTGACTGACAGCATTCCCGCCTCACCTTCGCAACCGGAAGCCACATGCACGACCATGGCCCAGTGCACAGCACTTGTGCCCTCTCACCGCCCCGCCCCTGAACCACATGGGCTGTGACGTCACCCGACGAGCGTAAACCTGACGAGACATATGCGATCCAAGCCAGCAAACCGAACGAAAGCCGCGGGAGCCCGAGCGCGCCACGCCGTCGCATGTGACGTCACACCTGACGTCGGCCGTGCGCTGCTGCAGGTGGACTTCGGCAACCTGGTGCTGCCGCGGCCGGTGTCCGACTACCCGCGCCCGCAGCGCGTCGGCCGCCTCAAGACCCTCGAGCACGACGTGTCGTCGGGCGACATCGTCGTCGTCGACGCGCAGACGCTGCTCGTGCCCGACTTCTCGTACGACGGCTCGGCGCCAGGTGCGTGCAGCCGAAAGTGTCGTCTCTCGGGCAGTGTGGTCTCCCGGGAAACGTGACGATGTGGCCATCCAGAAAGTGTCGTCTCCCGGGCAGTGTGGTCTCCCAGACAATGTGGTCTCCCTGGCTATGTGGTCTCCCAGACGATGCACTCCTCCGGGAAATGTGGTCTCCCTGTCATATCCTTTCCTCCTCGCCCCGTCCTGTTCAGCCGGCGGCCCTGTGAAAACGTGTAGGAATGGTTGATGTTCGATTCTTTCCAGATGCCCTGCGGCCATGGGGGGGGGGGGGGTCGATGCCGGGCGCTGGCATAATGTTACCTGAAACGTGGCGGCGGCCACTCTGGTCAGTTGTCGCAGAGTAGCTTTATCACTTAGGTAGAATTGACACAAGAATATATTTCCCTATCAGTTGGGGAGCCACCCTCTCCCCAATTTGAGCACAAGCCCACCCTCTGCTTAACAACTTTGGAAAGAAAGTGGGTCAAATCTGTGATGAAAGTCGATTTTTTGCGTATCGTCGGGACATAGGTTTCAGGATAGGAAAGGTTTAGGTGGGTTTCGTCATTTTTACTGTTCGGCATTCGCCCGACCCCTCCCTCGCCTCAAATAAACATGGCGAAAATTCGTCACTGCATTAGCATCTTGCAGTGCAAAGCCTCGAAAGCGTTACAAGGAATTTCGAGGGAAGTAAATAAATGCATATATATATATATATATATATATATATATATATATATATATATATATTAATACATGCATTTCAATTATAGAATATATACTTTTAATGACTTTAGTGACATATTTTTTCGACGGGTGTTTGAAGTAAATTCATTGTTGTGGGAATGGACCTTTAACCGAAAAAAAGACTTGTTGTTATTACCCCAACCGGCGATCGAGCGTCGTCGCCGACGGCTAGATAAGTGTTGCTGCCGAATATCAAAAGGCACGACATGATGAAATATGGACCTCTTAATTTCCTTTAATTACCTGTACTGCACCTTCTCCTGCGGTAATTTTCTGGTCACTTGTCTCGATTGGCTGCAGCCTTCATACCGCGTAGATTGTGTCGAGTCATTGTGACCCTGAGCTGGAGCTCGTGATCCATCGTTCCGATACTGCTTCCGTGGCGACTTTAATAACCGCCCCGCAGCAAAGCACAGCACCAGGAGACTTCAACCGGGGACTTGAGGGGAACCCCAGCCGGCGCACAGGCCCGCCTGCGACCGCCCGTGCGAGCCCGCTCATCCGAGCGCTTCCAGACTACCAAAGCCGCCTCCGCCCTCCCGGCGCCCGAGGGTCTCGTGACTATATGGCGTGTCGGGTGCGCAGCACGACTGGTCTGTTGCTGTTCCGCGCCGCCGACGCCTGCAGAGGGAGGCAGCCCGACGGCGGGCGGAACGGGGCCCCACCATGGTAAAGCTTTCTGTGCACCTGGGTGCTGAAACTCCCATAAGTTTCTGGACTTAAACATGGAGTCGCAGGAATTGTGCATAAAACACCGGTTTGCCCCCTCGTCCCATCATACGTTACTGCGCCGTCGGTATAGGTTTGAAAAAACTTCCAAAACCTATGCACCTACTGACCCATGTTGTTCACCCTTACTTACCGCTGCCCTACCGGTACCACATCCATCGACAGGCTTGTTGGTACTACTTACCGCTGCCCTACCGGTACCGCATCCACCAACAGGCTTGTTGGTACTACTTACCGTTGCCCTACCGGTACCACATCCACAGACAGGCTTGTTGGTACTACTTACCGCTGCCCTACCGGTACCGCATCCACCAACAAGCTTGTTAGACCACGCCTCCATTTTACGGCCTTGAACTGCCGGCACGCAGGCGCAACTGCTGCTTATGACAGGTGTTGGTGCGTGAAAACGGTCGAAAGTTGGAAATATTTACTTTTGGCTTGTTTTCTGCGCAAGTACTGTTGTGCTTTTCTTTCGCCTACAGACATTCGTTGTGTGCTGTGCATTTGCGTGCAAAATGAGTTTGAGACGTGTGCAATACTTGTATCCCGAACTCCCATGCGGAGCGACAAGGTGCGTTCAATTAGATCTAGTTCACCGTCTCACACTGCGACGCGTCTGACCTCGGCGTGTGGCCGGCAGACGCTCACTTCTGGGTGGGCAAGGGCCCCAAGCCTTCACCAGACGGCACAGCCGTGGCCGACGAGAACGGCTCGAAGCAGCCGCTGCGCCGCTACGACCGCAAGACGGTGGTCATCACGCTGCCCGGCGACCTGACCGTGTTCGACATCGACTACCTCAGCATCTGGTGCGAGGACTTCTTCGCCGACTTCGGCCACGTCAGGATCAACAAGGCCTCACTGAACGTGCCGCCCAGCCTGAAGATGCTCGGAGTCCGGCCTCAGGTGAGTCCAGCCCGCCGGGGTCGGTGCTGCAGCTGCTCTTTCGGCTGTCCACATGGCTTGTACATCAATATTTCCGCTAACCCAAAAAGGAAGGCTGAAGCGATTTTTTGTGCGCTTCGAACGCACGTTCCAACAAATTTGATACCAGTTGAATGACTCTTAATCCGGCGTTTGCACTACACGAAACGCAGAGGGGTCTTATCCTTGCTGTGCAGTGCCAAGTCATGGTTACCTTGCCGGTTCTGATCCGGTCTGGTCATTTCCCAGCTTATTTGCATTCGTCGGTTGAGCCAAATCACGCGAGCGGTCCGAGTCTTACCTTGCGCTTACGTGTCTGTAGACCTGTATCTAGATCACCTGGCTCTGCATTGATCCCCTACTTAGGGTAAGGCCTTCGATGGCGGTAGCTCATCGACCCCCTCGCCTTCAGCATCACGGCGAGAAAGTACCACCGCGTGCGAAATGATGTTAAATGATGTTGGAAGTTTCTGTCGCCCTCCAGTCTCTAAAACCGTACAACAGCGCCTGCATTCCTTGCGCTTGTCATCAAAAAGTCAGCATCGCCAAAGACCCTCGCTTTAACCCCTGCATCCGGATACTAAGCCGATGAGGTGATTCGCTTGCAGTTCATCTCCCCCCCCCCCCCCCCTCCTGGCACCACTCACCCCATCCCGGTGCAGGCGCCCACGCGGCCGCGCTCATGCACGACTCGGGCTGGACGTGATTACCACAGAGCAGGAAGCGTCCGTCCCCTCCGACCGAGCCTCCCCATCCGGGCCCCTGTGCCTCGTCGGTGTCGTGCCGACCGGCCGAGCCTCCCCATCCGGGCCCTTGTGCCTCGTCGGTGTCGTGCCGACCGACCGAACCTCTCCAGAGCGCGCTCACCCTCCGGGCGTTGAGGGCGCCGCTGTGACCGGCGCTGCTGCCCGCCGGCGCCGGCCGACACCGTTCGGCTGTGGCCCGGCCGCGGAGGCGACGGGAGACCAGCAGGGCGGCGGGCTGGGCGGACCGAGCCGCCAGCAGCCTGGGCATCGTCTCGCAGACGGCTGCCAGCCAAAGCGGCGTGCTGGGCTGGTGGCGCTCCCCCGTTGGAAAGCGACCTGGCGCGGGGGGAGGGGGGCGCTGGCCGATCGATGTCAGCAAGCCAAACCCGCCTCTCCACCGACCTAGGGCAGCGACGGCCACTCCACATCCCACTGGCGACCATGCCATGCTTTCAGATCAGAACCGCTATCCTTTCCCAGTGGTCGAGCGGCCGCCGACCGGATGAGTTTCCTATGCCTGGCCGCCCCCCCCCCCCCCGTGCTGACTCCCCCGTGCATCTGAGAACACGGCGGCGCCAGCAGGGGCTGCCCGCCTGCCGGAGCGGCGGTGTGCTGCTCAACAGCCTGTCACCCGGCGGATCTCCGAGCGGCAATGGCCGCCGAGGTCGAGCCGGCGCTGGGCGTGGACGGCGCCCGCAGGGGTCGTTGCTCACGTGTCCACCTTGGCACATTTCCAGCGCGCGGTGGGATTAGCGACGGCCGACTCAGGTGCTCGACGGTTGTCCCCCGTCGGGCGGGCGTCGCTCGGCGGTTGGATCTTGTCCGCCCCGTCCCGGTCGCCATCGCTCGGCTGTCGCGCTGTGGCTTCTCCAACCCGGCCAGCGCTTCGGGCAAGGCCTTGAGCCCGCTCAAACCTCTCGAAATGCCCGGCTGTGTCACTGACGGCTGGATCTCTCAGGCTCTTGTTTCACTGCTGTGCAATTGTCTGGCCCATTTCATTCTCTAAGGTCGTTCCTTGATTTATTCTCTATTATATCTGCTCTGTTTATCCCTCCCTCACTCTCTCTCTTTTTCTTCCCGCCTTCCACTCTCCTCGCCTCTCCTCTTCCATTACCCTGTTGTTCATTATTTTCTCACGTCCTGGCTGGTTGACAAGGCCTGTTATCTCTTTGAAATGCATTCCATTGTTTGCGTGCCAGTTGTGAAGGTGAACGACTGGCTAAAGCGCGTTTCCTATGCGGCACTGACCCTGGGCATCAACGGACACGGCCCGTAGGCAGCCCGCCTGTCTGCGGAGCTCCCCGATGACTGCTGGAGAGCGGCCCGTAGGTAGCCCGCCTGTCTGCGAAGCTCCCCTATGACTGCTGGAGAGCGGCCCGTAGGTAGCCCGCCTGTCTGCGAAGCTCCCCGATGACTGCTAGAGAGCGGCCCGTAGGCAGCCCGTCTGTCTGCGGAGCTCCCCGATGACTGCTGGAGAGCGGCCCGTAGGTAGCCCGCCTCTCTGCGAAGCTCCCCGATGACTGCTGGAGAGCGGCCCGTAGGCAGCCCGCCTCTCTGCGAGGCTCCCCGATGACTGCTAGAGAGCGGCCCGTAGGCAGCCCGCCTCTCTGCGGAGCTCCGGCTGTGGCCGGGTTATCTGCTGGAAGACCGCGGAGCTCAGCCATTGCCAGCGGTCGGAGCTCGCCCGCAGGCTGAAAGCCAGCCAAGGTCTTAGCATGAACGTCTCGGTGCGATCCTGCCGTTTGCTAGTGGGCTAACTTTGAGTCGTGTGGAGAAATCCCTGAATGTCTCATTGTATTCGGGTGAAAAACAGCATCGCGCCACAATCAAACGACAACTTGAGAAGAGCTGGAGGCCTCCTATTGTGCCAATGCCAGGATCAAAAGATACAATGGTGCAGGTCAGGCGAAAGCAAATACTTTGGCGGTCACCGCCTGCTATGGCAGTTAGTCTGGGCAACGTGCCGGTCAATGTCGAGAGACCGCTCGTGCTAAAAACGCAGCTTTCCTGGGAAACTCGCCTGTTATGCCACGTGCAGTTATTAAATTTTGCGCAACCCCACAGTAATTGAAATATGTTGTAAATCAAGCCAACCATGATGCGAAATGAAATATGAATGAATGAAAAACCATGAATGAAAAAACCGTGGATGAAATATGCATGCGGCAACGCGCTTTGGTGCACTTTTCAATTCAGCTAAATCATGGTTCAAAATCACTGGTCCGATGCAATTTGCGATCCGCACGATTATTTACAGACATTTCAGGAAGTCTCCCACGTCTTGCCGTCTGACGTGACATCAATAATAGCGGGAGATGTCCAAGGATTTGGTGAAAGCTTTGGACGAAGAAGTGTAGCCCCTTGGACAACATAGAACATCGATCGTTTTCTCAATGTTTCGGGCGTATTTTTTAATTATTTTGCAACACTATTGCAAAACTCGTTTGGGTGTGCTTTCATTTTCCACACGGAAGACGAACCCAGCCTTTGCCGAACTGCCTGCGAGACCAGTTCACCGGGTTTTCCGGTGTCTGGGTTGACTACAGTTCCGGCTGTGTCACGTCATTCCCTGGAAACGATTCCACTGTTGTTAGAGCTTCATGTGTTTGCCCTACTACGGCTGAATACATTCCCTTAAGTAGCGTAGTCTCCACATTTCAGACAAATATAAACCGTACGTGATGTATTGCTTAGATCGGGCGCAGCCTTTGATGACTTGGATGGTCGGCTGCCAAGAATGCATGATTTCTACAGCCAGGGATGTCTCTTACTTTAACGCAGTTTTATATTTCTAGCACTCAATGATGCAGACCAATGGACACGTTTCCACTTGTGCGATGTAGAGTCGTTTCGACTCACCCCCTACCACTGTAGTGTCACCTTGCAAGAACTGTCTCTCGTATCTGTGCATTGGCTTGAATATGGCGCTGCATTGCCGTTATCACTTAAGCTCACAGGCATCCCCAAATCGCCCACATTAAAGCAGACCTTCACAGAAACGCTGCAGCGTCAAGGACAAAAGGGTGACGAACAGGGAGATCTCGTATCAGTTTGAACGGAATGTCTGAACATTCGTCGCCTGGATACAAGCATCTAAAAAATAGTTATTTAAGGTAGGTTTTCTCTGTTATTCAAGCGCACAGCAGTCATCGGAAACATGTTATTGCCGCCGTTCCCTGCATTTTCAGCGAGAACTATGATTGTTGCGAGATATATCGACACAATCTCACCGAGAGCTGTCATTTAACCTCCCAGCTCCGGCATTACCAGCAGCCAACGCGTCGCTCCACACTGGCACTTGACACGCGATGATGACTGTGCTGTCCGGCGCCTGCCTGGCTGCTGGGACTCGCAGAAGGCCGGCGGGCCGCCGCTGCGGTCGCGCCGCGGCCGAGGCGCCGGAAGCGGCCGGCTCGACGCCGCTGTTCCGCTCTTGAGTGGCTGACCTCTGGCGACTTCCCGTGTCGAGTCGACATTGGGCGGGTCGGCCTTCGAGCGCCGACGCCGACGGCGGGCCCGGCTCCATGGAGACGCCAGGCGCGCGGAGCCGAGGCCTCGGGCGGGGGCGGTGCTCGTCGGCTCGGCGGAAGGTTCACGCCGGCACAGGTGGTGCTGAAGGACGGCAGTCATGGCCTCTGGTGGGTCGGGCACGGGTCGGTGGGGTGGGCGGAGCTGGCACGGACGTAGCGTCGGACTCTGTGGGATATATTGCCCTGAACTTGCTATTTTGTTTAGGGACAGTGGCGTAGTTTCGCAAAATGCTTGGGGGGGGGGGAGGCTGAACAGTGAAAAAGTACTCGACCTGCCCCAAAATATGACAACAAACAGGTTTTCCCGGATTTTGCCCACCTTCCTCCTACAGTTGCGTGCCTGAAGCCCCCAAGTGATAAGTAAACTACGTCCCTGTTTAGGAAGATTTGTATTTTAGGTATATAATATACGTATACATATATATATATATATATATATATATATATATATATATATATATATATATATATATATATGTCATTGTTCTGGAGTAGGCTTCGTTAGCTCCTGGTGTCCGTATCTTTCGTTATGAGGCCTTCAACATCAGCCATTGCGGTCCACATGAGCCAGCCGCACCCGCGGAGAGCTGTGTCCAGAATCGATAAACCGCTCTAGCTGGAATCACCTCATGTGAATCATAGAGACCCCTTCGGATTCCGGTGGTAAGTGACTCAGACGGGCCCGGTGCGACCCTCCGCCGCATGGTCGGGAGTCGCTCCTTACCAGACACTCCCTGACCCGCGGGTCAGACGGCCGGACACGACCGGTGCGGTCGTCCCAGCGGGATACGCAGTGTCCAGATGAAGGCCCGGTGGGATGTCGTGCTCTCTGTTCACATGTTCACATTTGTGCGCCGCAGTGCGCTGAGCTTTCACCCGAGGCGGAGACAGACACAAGTTGTCAGTCCTTGCCGTCATGTTCAAGTCGCAGTCATGGACGACCGAACAGCTAAGCTGATTCGGTTTGAGTCTTTTTGCGGGATGCTTCTTAATTCTGTACCATTACCAAACCATGCAAAGCCTATTAGTCAGCCCGCTGTCGGGCTTCAGCAGTTGGTGTCATTAAGTAACATGAAAGCATGTTTTTCATCTTCTTGGGTCTCGGCATGTGTTCTGGACGACGGCGCCGTTTGAATCAAGGGGGTCAGGCATGTGGCCTGAACGATGGCACCGTTTGAATCAAGGGGGTCTCGGCATGTGGTCTGGACGAGAGTACCGTTTGAATCAGGGGATTAGCTTCATGACGATATCTTCCACTCGGTAACGGGCCATCTGGACGAGTTGCCATGACGACAGCGGCCACGCCGCCCATCCCAGAGCCTGCGGCACTGGCTTCCTTGGGCCAACTGGCATCCGCCCATCTCATTCAGCATCCATCATCCTTGCAAAACTTTCGCGTTCGCCGGTGAAGGTCGGACGCCCCTCCGCGATGACCTCAGCGTTGCACGTGCGCCAAAGCGGGCACTTCCTGCCATCGCTCCCACGTCGACAGCGGCCGAGGCGCCGGTGCCAAGGCTCCTCATTCAGACGGAGCACAATTAAAGACGCAGCTCTGAGCACCTGATGTAGGACAAGGCTAGCGAGCCGGCGCCGCCACGCGCCGCCACAGCGTGCTGATTAGCCGTTCGCCGGCTCACCGGGCGGCAATTAGCGCCGGTCGTCCGGCCCGCGCGGTCGCCTTCGCGCCGTTGACACGCCAGCTGACTCGGGACAATGCTGACCAGGACGTGCAGCCCCGGTCACGGCAGGGGAAAGAACGGTGCATGCAAGTTTAGGGGTGGCGGGGCCGGGAAAAACCCGGTGATCGGGTTAACAGCGCTCGCTGCAGGTAGGTTCAGGTCATTTCAGTGTCAGCCAAAGACCCCAAGCAACGCATGCTAACCGTGGAGCGCAGCTGTCGTTTTAAGGGTTGCGTTTTGACTACGTTCCTCATGATGTGATGCAATGTCTTAGACTGGAAAACTGAGATATGCACGGGAGGCGAAATCCGAAGACCATGACGATGATGAAATCACCTGGCAGGGCAGATCACCTTCAGTGTAGACTCCCAGTCACAGACGAATGCGTCAGTGATCCAACACTGGGCGGGGGCTGGTGCCGGGCTCTGCGTGTCGGTGCGGCAGGTTACCTGTCCCACGAGGCCGGTGCAGCAGGCTACCTGTCCCACGAGGCCGGTGCAGCAGGCGATCCGACCCACGAGGCCCGTGTCGAACTCTGCGGGCCGGTGCAGCAGGCCACCCGTCCCCCGAGGCCCGTGTCGGACTCTGCCGGCCGGTGCAGCAGGCCACCCGTCCCCCGAGGCCCGTGTCGGACTCTGCGGGCCGGTGCAGCAGGCTGCCCGTTCCACGAGGCCGGTGCAGCGGGCTACCCGTCCCACGAGGTCGGTGCTGGGCCCCGCGAGCCAGTGCAGCAGGCGCTGCGAGGGGTCAGCTGGGCCGGCGGTGGCTGCGGACCGCACGGAACCGTGTCCAGACAAACCCGGCGAGTCCATCGCAGAGCCGGCTACGGCGCGCACGGACGACGTTCGGCCTCAGGCGATGGGTTTGGATGATTCACCTCGAATCGGGAAAGCAGTGCCGATTATTTGCACTACGGATTTAGGATAGGTAGGAGTGCGTGCGGAGGTTTGGGGAAGTATGACGGCGTTGCCATGACCGAAACTCGTGACTCAACTCTGTGACTCGGCGCCGTTCATGTGGTTCCTCGTGGGCGGCTCGAAAAATTTGTCGGTCCGAAATGTGTTTTAAATTTGTCTCGACTGTCGAGGCCTCCTCTTGTTCAATGAAGGCAATGTGTTTGACTGGATGCCTTGCTCCCAAGGACAACCAGACATGATGTTGCACGCGAGGTTTCGTGCGTGGCTCACAGAACCAGCGCGCTTTCCGAGTTTCCGCCCGTTTGTTTATATGCTGGCAGGATAGTTAACGTGGGAACAATAGGCGGAAGGAAATTGCTAATCAGAATGCACGTCATTGATGTTTTATAGTTCAATAGCGTGAGGTTTAGATACACACCAAATTCTTCGCATATTTTGTGAGACTGTTGGCGAATCGTGTCAAACATGAAAGGTCTACACCATAACGAAACCAGCATTTTTTGTAGCCATACGACTGCATGATTGAGTGAAAGGTTAACGTTAACGCTCGTTAACGTTCTGACCAGTGATCTGGGCACTGAACCCGTTGATTAGCAAGCTGTGAGCGTGAGTGGATGACTACTTCTTAGCGCTTGCAGTGACTGCACGAAGGAATACGAAACACGGTGACACAGATCAGTCATCCCAGCATCCTGTTCGGTTCCGTAAAGTGACATCAGCGCTGGTTCACTAATCCCGTCAAGTTTGCTTTCCACGAGCTTTGCTCTGCATCGCGAGGTTTTGGGCAAAATCATTGTCTCAAGTTCAGGTCTGTTGAAGTTTATGCCTCTTATTTGCTTGCAATTTTCATCATCAAAACATCGTCTAAATAGTCGTGGGGCACGGCCCTTCGAACCGTTATATATGTGATATTGCAGCTGGTGTGTAAACTGCAAATGCTGCATTTATAATCGTGCCAGCCATTGCTTTAAGCGATCATTACTTACATGCCAGAATGCTGACCACACCGATCAATTCTCTGGAACAATGATGTGCAAGAAAAGCGCATTGAACGGCTCACCTGACAATAACTCACAATCTGAACGAACTCACCAGACACTTTACCACAGCGAGATTTGGTTCGTGCACTGGCGTGAGTCCCGCAATACCATTATCCCCTGTTCCGAACCCTCGAGCCGGTGTACCCTCCCATCACGCCAGGAGCACCTGTGTTTCCTAACATTGGCGTTGTCCGTGCATTGGCGTGAGCCCGCAAGACCATTATCCCCTGTTCCGAACTCTCGAGCCGGCGTACCCTCCCATCACGCCAGGAGCACCCGTCTCCTAACGTTTGCCGTTCTCCGCCGCAGACGAAGCTGAACTGCGAGGTGCTCGACTCTGACTCCTCCCTGGAGGTGCGCTGGGCAGTGGCCGGCGAATCCATCGTCATGCAGCTCGTCAGCAACATAGGTCAGTGCCCGGTCGGAGCTCAACGGCGCTAGTGGACATCGCCAAACGATCGGCTATTGCTGTCAGGGTCTGAAATGGAATCGCCGCTCTATCGACGGTCGGTTTTGTGTATGAAAGTTTCGTATGGTTTGGAGGATCTCGCGCTTATCAACGCTCGCACTTGTTTATATATGTCTATATTCGGATTAAGAAATGTCCTGTATTCGGATTTAAAATGTCTATATTCGGGGCGTATGCTGACTTTCATGATGGCGGGGAGAGGCGCAACTCCAAATTTTCATTAAAAAACCGAGTTAACTCGCCACAGACGCACAAAATTTGTGGGGTAAAACAACATCGCGCGTTTTTGATCTACTTCTTTTTACGTCTTTACTCCGATTTTTTAGTGTTTGAGCTTATTTGCGCACATAACGATGCATGCCATCAATCGCATAAGGGAAAGGGAACACGTACCTATGGAGTCACTATGTGTGTACGCCCGTGGTCCATATGGCTGCTGTTTTCTACTCGGCGTAGAGCACACCATAAACACAACACTGAAGCCCTTTTTGATCCCATAATGATGCGCTACCTTCAAAACACACTTGCATCTAGTAACTCAACAAGGTTTTGAGAGGTGCCATGCTGGCACACGTCTTTGCTGTTCATTTCCAGCTTAACGTTAAAGTGAGGCGCCCGGTTTAATGTTCTGGCCTTCTGCCAATTTTCCGCTCTTGATTCCCCACCGATCAAAGACAAGCCTCAGGCTCAAACCATCTACATCGCGCAGCAGAGCTGTCGCTTAAGGTAATCAGTAACGGGCAATCAGCGCAATCATCCAGCACTAATCGCCGCCCAGTCATTCGGGCCGCGTCGTTTCGCGGCGGCAGTGCTGTCCGGGCCTTCGGTCACGCTCCGTCGAAGTCATGCAGCCGCCCATGCGTGCCGGCGTGACTCAGCAGCCTCGGCGCCCACTGGGCCGTGTCGTCAGTGGCACACGCCGGCGTGCCAGGCCAGCTGACCCGGGCTTGACCGACTTCCTGAGACGTGTCACGAGGTTGTCGCAGGTCACCCGGGCGGGCCGGCGCGGCGCGGCAGAATGTGTGGAGTCACCCGCCGCGGACGACGGCCGGCGGCGGGTGTCCGCTCCAGGTCACAGCGCCGCGCCTGCCTGGTGACCCCGGGGTGCTGGTGCCTGGTGTGATGCGCTTATAGCGTGCTAGCTCCCACTTAGCCTCTAGGCGCCCGTCACGAGCTGAATACACTCACTTGACCATCTGATGAGCTCGCGTCTTCACATCCCATCAACCATACAGGCTATCCGACTGCAGCGTGCCCTCCAAACCCTTATCGTGCTCTCTGCCGACAGAGGACGGCCAGTACATGTCGTTCGGCCTGAGCGGCGACAGCGCGCGCAGCAAGATGCTGGGCGCTGACGTGGTGGTCACCTGGCTGAACCGGGCCACGGGGCAGGGGTACGCCCACGACTACCACCTGGAGGCGCGCGCGCAGTGCGCCGGCGGCAGGGGCTCCTGTCCAGACGCCAAGACCAGGGTATGTCTGGTGTCGTCGAGTCGGTCATACGTGCTTCTCTAGGGAACCCCACGTCTTCTTAGGCTGTGATGCGTCGTGTATTGAAATGCTGTCTCAAGGAGAGTAATGTGGCAGATGCGTGAAATGTCAGTTGTGTTAAAATATGAAACGGAACACGCGTAATGTAGACAATGGATACCAATCCAATAAGGGAAGGCTTCAGCATTGTGTTGTTTCGAGCGCATTTATGCACAATAACCCACCCACTGGGAGTGCTAAGCACTTCAATCAGTGCAATTTTGGCCGATGCCCTGGTGGCTGAATCGCGTATTAGGTGTGGGCCAAACGCGGCGCCTGTCACTCATCTACCAATTACCTTGCTCCTCTCTTCTGCAGGGCGGCAAGAACGACGTGCGCCTGCTGAACTCAGCGCTCATCAACGGGTTCTCGATGCTGACCTTCCAGCGACCGCTGGCCGGCGGCGACGCCAACGACCTCGCCATCTTCACCAACGGCTCGCAGCCAGGTGATCTGGGCCATCGGGCCCGTCAACTCGGCCGGCGAGACCAGCTACCACAGCAAGCGCACGCAGGGCGACCTGTTCAGTCGACTTCGGCCGCACGCCGATCTGGAACTGCGCCGTGGCCGGCAGCGGCTCGGCCGCCGCCTCTTCGTCCCGTGCGGGCAGCCGACCGGCGACGACGCCGGCTCCCGCCAAGCCCTGGAAGATCCCGTCGATCAAGTGCGACGAGCCCGAGGACCGCGTGTACTACGCGCAGATCGGACCGACCGGCGGCGCGCGCGGCTACAACGCCATCACGGGCCGCGTCGGCTGGGGCCTCGCCTGGTACATCAACGGCCTGCTCATCCCCGAGATCAACGTGGTGCGCGGCAAGACGTACACGTTCGTGGTGGAGGGCGGCCTCGACCCGGATCGCTCAGCCAAGTTCCATCCGTTCTACATCACTGACGACGCCGAGGGTGGCTACGAGTTCAAAAGCCAGGCGGAGCGCGCGGTGAGTTGGGGGTGGGGAGGGGAAGGACGGGCGCGTGGTGAACCGGGGGTGGGAGGGAAAAGGGAAAGAACGGGCGCGCGGCGAAATAGGGGTGCGGAGGCGAAAGACGAGAGGGTGCGATGGCTCGAGAAGAGTTTACCCGGATGGTATGCATCACGGAGGCGGGGGGGATGGATGCGTTGCGCAGCTGCGTTTTGATGATGGACGTGGTGTAGCTTAAAAGCTGTTACCAGACACAGACAGATAAGTGCGTGAATAGCTCTTCCATCCGCGAAAGCATCACCTTCAGCTCGAAGTTTTCTAAGATCGAAGCCCTTCTCCGGTTTTCCGTCTGAAAGACGACGGCGGCGTCTGTCACTCCCTGCTCACCTGACATGCGCACGGGTGTTGACTGGCTCGCTCGCCGGTTCTGCAGAACGTGCGCGTGTTCGCCGGCGTGTCTCTGGACCGGAATGGCAAGGCCCAGCCGACGGCCACCGGCCGTCTCTGCTCCTGGAAGGAGAACCCCAGCGAGCCGGCCGACGCGCACGGCTCGTTCGGCGCCTACCAGCGCACGCTGCAGCTGGTGTGTGAGGAGGGCCAGCCGGGAATCCTGCAGTGGACGCCCGACCAGAACACGCCAGACACCGTCTACTACCAGGTGAGGGCGGCAGGACACTCTCGCCGCGGGTGGGAGACAGGACACCACTGCCGCGTGGTGGTCAACAGGACGCTGGGAGAATGTGGGCTGAGGGAGCGGCCATGTTGAACGCATCTGAAGAGAACTGCTCGGTTGGGTGTGGGGCCTATCAGATATTTTTATCACAGAACCAGTTTTATTTTATCCTTGACGTTAGCGCGGTCTGTCCAGCCGTCTAGTGCAGTCGGCTTAGCATGCTTCCGGAAAAGCCAGCACATTGGTCGACAAAAAGATCAGCGTGGACTTCGTTATAATGCGGTCATATATCTACGATCTATGCTGCAAGCGCTGGCAATGGTAGCCAACTCTCACCGCGACCATTGTGTTTCAGTGTTTCACCCACCGATACTTGGGCTGGAAGATCAACGTCGTCGATTCCTGCCAGTCTGGAGGTATTTCCCAGCGCCGGTTTCGAAAAGCTCTGCCCGGTTCTAGACGACCGGCGCCGCTCACTAACCCGCGCACGCACTGCGGTCTGCCTGCTGACATGCCACGCTTGACGGCTGACGTAGGCCACGTGTCGTAGTAAAGCCCGTGGCAACACGGAGGAGCACGCGTCTGCAGGACGCGTGCTGAGGTGAGTGACATGTGGACGCGCTCCGCTCGCCCGTAACCGCCCCACGCCGCTGTTACAGACGACGATGAGAACTATTACGACGACAGCTTGCCCCAGCAGAGCGTGCTGGTGGAGCAGACGATCCCCAACAGCCTGACGCGTCCCCAGTCCGATCCGTTCATCGACGAGCTGGCGCGACGATCTGACGAGCCGGCCACAGAGCCCAGCTACGGCAGCGAGCCGCCACCGCGGCCCGTGCCGGCGCCGCCCACCGCCGCCCTGCCGCGCCCGCAGGCGCCGCCGTCGCCGCCCGGCTTCGGCTTCGGTTCGCGCGCCAAGCCGCAGCCAGCCGGCGAGACGATGAACGTGGCCGTGGTGCCGCACGGTGTGCCCGTGCCACCCGAGCTGGGACCCGGGTTCTTCGGGCCGCCGCCCGACGGCGTGCCGCTGCCGCCGTTCGAGAGCTTTGCCGGCGAGCGGGCGCCGGCGGCCGCGGCGGAGCTCGCGCCGCGTGACCCGACCCTGGACCGCACGCTGCCGCGCGAGCACCGGCGGCCGGCGGGCTCGCGACGCGGCGCCGCCGGCCGCCGGCCTCTGTCGGGCAAGCCGCGCCGGCCGCGGCCGCGGCCCGAGCCGCGTCCCGCCTTGGATGCGCCACCGCGCCGCCGGCCGGAGACCGCACCACTCCGCGAGCAGCGCCCCACGCGCCAGCCACTGCCGTCTGTGGTGTTTGGCCGGCCGCTGGCTGACGCCGGCAAGGTCTTCAGCCAAGCGCCGGACCACTCGGGCTTCCAGGCACCCCCGCCGCCGCCACCACCGCCGCCGCACGGGAATCAGTTCGACGCCACAGACATCGTGCTGGAGACGGACTTCAAGCCGGTGAAGCACAGCGACCGCAACAACCCGCCGCTGGCGTTCGAGGTGAACGAGGTCCTCGGCGGCGACGAAGGGTGGGTCAACAACCGAGTGACGAAGAAGTCCGGCGAGCAGGGCTCAGGTGCCTTCGGATCAGCACCGCCGGCGGAGCGCACGTTTCCAGCGGCGTACACCAGCGACTTTGGCCGCCCGCGACCGGCCAACATCCCGCTGCCCGTGTCCGTCGTGCCGGTGGGGCCGTCCGCGCCGGTCGACCGGCAGGACCAGCCGGCACCGTACGTCGAGGGACCCGGCGCCCCGGCCGAGGCGACGTACCAGGTGGAGGCGCCCGTCGCCGCGGCAGAGCAGCCGGTGCCGCTACCGCCACACCTCACGCAGGAGATCCTGGTAGGCGCAGTGGTGTTCCGGCCGGACGAGGACCCGCGGCTGCAGGGCCGGCCACCCGCCGGTCGGCCGCCGCCGCCGCCGCGGCGCCAGCAGCGGCCGCCGGCGCGGCCCGGCCTGCTCAGCGGACCCGCCTCGTTCTTCAGCGGTCTGCTCGACTACATCCCGGGCCTGGGCGGCGCGCGCGGCCCGACACGGCGCCGCCACCCGCTCGGACGCGGCAATCCGCACCGTGTGCTCGAGGTGAGCCGCGAGAAGCACGCGCCGCCGCCGGCTGTGCCTGAGTCGCGCCTGGACGCGGATGCCGTCGGCCCGCGGGTGGACGAGCAGGCACGTCCCGAGTACGGCCAGCCGCGGCCGCCGTACGTCGAGGACCGACCCAGCTTTGACGGAGGTGCGGTATACGAGCAGCGACCCGAGTATCAGGAGGCGCGACCGGAGCACCTGGCGCCGGAGTTCCAGGAGCCGCTGGCGTACAAGGCGGAGCGGGAGTACCAGGAGGAGCCGGAGTATCGGCGGCCGGTGGTGGAGGAGCCGGCGCGGCCCGCGCACCTTCTGCAGCTGCCGGTGGTACCCGAGATGCAGCCGATGTTTGAGCGGCAGCCGTTCCAGCCGTCGCCGCTGGACGGCGCTAGCTTCCGGCCCGTGTCGGGGCCGCCGCCGCCGCCTTCGCCCAGGCCCGTGTACCGGCCAGCGGCGACCGCGGCCGAGAAGCCCGCTGATGACACGCTGAGCGTTGACGCCGCCGAGGTAGGCGCCTAGCTGCGCGCCGGCGGCGAGAACCTTCTCAGTCGCTGCCATTCGCCAGCCCTGTGGTCGTCATGGCTGGTTGGCGGCTCCTTCCACGGCGTCTTCAGCACGTTCTTCGCCGCCACAGCTCACTCCAGGCCGCTTCGATGAGTCTGTCGCCTGCCTTCGATTGACTATGACTTTCCTCCTGCTGGACGACCTTCATCTGACTTTGATGACTATCCTGACTCTCACTTGACCTTGATGGACTGTCACTTACTTTTGACCGATGGCAACAGCTGCTCCTGTCCCTGACACCGGCACGCCAACCTGAGGTCCCGGCCTCTCGAGGAGATGCAATGGTTTGAGATCGCACGCATCAGGAGTGCGACAACAAGGCGACTCAACCCGTCGTTCCCATCACTGCTCCCCTCACGAGCACCGGCGGGACCCACTCTTGTGAGCCGACGCCGGAACTCGAGCTTGTCCCTGGTCGTGCTTTCCAAACAACCGCCACCATGCATGCAACGGTATTTGGACAGGCATGGACCTGGTACAAAGGGACACTAACATGTTATTGCATGAGTTGACAGTTAAGAACGCTCGGTATTTTCAGTGAGATCTCCGGCTGTGCTGAATGAGCTCGACCACACGTCCGTCACATAACGCACCCACGATGTTGATGTCATGCATGCTGGCTAACCTGAATTGCAGTGTGTGCTTGTCCAAAAAACGCGTTTGTAAACAATGTGCTCTTACATACACCTACAATGCCGTTGTGTATCGATTCCTTGTACACAAATACTTTCGAGGCATGTGTTGTGGTAACCACCGACGTGTTTTCTTTATCGTGGCCTGCTCTAAGCTCATGTCCAATGACGCGGCAGCAATATTCGACCTTATCGCCATGTTCCACGCACTAGGTTTCATAACGCCGCTAGCTTTCCCCAGAGAAGTGCGACAGAATCCCACGCGCTTCGTTACATACAACAGTCACCTCCGCGTGCCGCGTGCGTGCTTCGCCGTCAGTATGTGGTCACACAAGCGCTGGCCGACCGACACGTTGCGTGACGCGTGTTACCGCCCTAGGCGCAAAGCGGGGCTCGACAAGAAATTCTGGAAGACGTGTGGAGCCGAATGCGGGACGCCGCAGCAGGCTCCGCGGCCGTCGAGGCTAGGCAACAGCGGCACCTTCACGCAGGTACGTGGCGGCGCGTCTAGAGCCGTCCAGGCTAAACAACAGCGGCGCCTTCACGCAGGTACGTGGCGGCGCGTTTGGAGCCGTCGAGGCTAGACAAAAGCGGCACCTGCACGCAGGTACGTGGCGGCGCGTTCTGAGCTGTCGAGTCTAGACAACAGCGGCACCTTCACGCAGGTACGTGGCGGCGCGTTTAGAGACGTCCAGGCTAGACAACAGCGGCACCTTCACGCAGGTACGTGGCGGCGCGTTTGGAGCCGTCGAAGCTAGACAAAAGCGGCACCTGCACGCAGGTACGTGGCGGCGTGTTTAGAGCCGTCGAAGCTAGACAAAAGCGGCACCTGCACGCAGGTACGTGGCGGCGCGTTCAGAGCCGTCGAGACTAGACAACAGCGGCACCTTCACGCAGGTACGTGGCGGCGCGTTCTGAGCTGTCGAGGCTAGACAAAAGCGACACCTTCACGCAGGTACGTGGCGGCGCGTTTAGAGAGGCTCCGTAGGCTCTGTTGGCATGCAGGAGAGCGGATTGTACTGCTCCATCCTTGTGGTGTGGTGTGTCGACGTGTTTCCAAGTCGTTTGTGGGTGGCAAGCCAAGTAGAAACCTGCGCAGCAAACGTGTAAGCTAAAACTGGCATCGCTTTGCGCGTAGAGTGCGTCGCAGATGTCGAATATTTTTTTGTGACGCGCGGCCTTCTATTTCCCAGATGCGCGATGAGTCGGCGAAGATCCGAACGCCGCTCTGATAGCGGGCAACCAAGGACAGCGCGTGTCTCGTGTTGCTACCAGCGCCGCAGGCGTGCGGCGGCCGCTCCGCGCAGCTGCGGTTCTCGCCGACGTCGATAGCTGGTGACACCAGAGCTGGCCGTCGTCGCGTGTGTGTGTATGTGTCGTGTGGATGTGAGTAGACTGCAACAGCGCAAAGCGCCGGAAATGACCAGCCAACGAGCGGATTCGGCACGGGAGACTGGACGAACTCTGAGCACGGGAGACTGGACGAACTGCGGAGCACGGGAACGACTAACGAACGAGACGGAGCGGTGTGAACCGCTTGCATTTCTGGAATGTTTTCTTCCGTGCGACATTGTGAACGACAGGCATTCATTGTTCTCTGGGCGCTGCAGACTAGGCTGCCTGCACAGGCTTGGATCTGAGCATGCGTAGTGCCACATGACGACGCACAGCATGTCCGTACTGTATGAACTGCAGGAGACTTCTTGCTGACATCCGGCTCGAGACGAAATCGTTACACGTTTCCGGGGTGTGAGTGCGCGGGAGCTCTTCGTGAAAACCGGCGAGCCTGTGCGAGATGCCCCTGTGATCAGATAAATTATTGTATTTAAGAACGCACTCTACGGAAATTATCGTACATTTCGCACATTATGTGAGGCAAACTGCCTCCTAGATATTTAGCGCGATGTTAGAGGACGCATGACGCGGTATCCTCACATAGCGGAGTCGTTACAGCTGTACGCGTTTCCTGATGGCATGTGCAAAACTATGACCTCTATGACCTTAATGGCGCCGACATTAAACGCTATTTGGCATGGTTCGCAGTCTGTGTTTATGTGAAGTTTGCTGTTTTTGCAAACTTTTGTTGGAGTTCCATCGGTCAAAATGTATCAACCCAATAAACAATACACATGAAATCGACTATCGCCAGATTGGGGACGACAAAAAAATGGGACGAAAAAAACGCATCGAGCGCTGTGACTGATATCGGCATGAGAACGACTCCACCTCCAGTTTTGGTGATGTGAGCACGGCACACCATCTGCATATGAAACGCCAAAGGACTTGCCGTAACAAAAAAGACGATAAGGATGCATCGCGATGCGATAAGATATGATGCGATGCATATCGATGCTTTGCTTAATGCGGTCATGCGCTGTACTCGTGTAACAACATTGTGGCAAATTTGCTACGCCTGGGCAACGCATTTAGCAAACGACAGAGAACATGCCCTGAACCATGCTCATGCCGAGCAAGGCGTGCTATGAAGGGAAGGCACATGAAGGAAGGCAGGCATGCATGGTAGTGTTTTCTCATCCCTTGACACGCTGATATTTTATGGACCCTATCATTGGTGGCTTGAAAATTTGTGGAGCACGTGACACAATTGGCACAATGCAATCACTTTAAACGCCAGTTGTGCTGGATTGCGGGCGGCTGAGTTACGGTCCCAAGCATAATTCGAATGGTGTCCATCTGACCGAGTGTATTTTTGTCGAAAACGTTCACTTGCATGCCGTTTTCTCGATTTGTCTTCGTCGCCGTGCCAACAAAGACGGAATACTAAAAGTCGAATGCCAATTTACCGGCATGCTTTTCACCCGGTCAATCTAACAAAATTTTGACAGCTGAAACGTATAGGTACTGAACGCCGATTTGCCGGGATGTTTCAGGCCGAAGGTAAATTTTTCGAAATGTTCTTTAATTGAAATGTAACTGCCGGAGCATGGTACGGTCAAACGCGTGGTTACTAAGATTTTATTTAATGCGCTCCCAGTTGTCAACGTTTGTTTTAAGACGACTCATAATCCACCGAATCTTTTGCCCGCTAGCAATTCAGCGGTAAACAATATAACTGGGAGTGACTACTTGTAGAAACATGTAGCCTTCCACAAGCAATTGGAATTTGCAATCCGAAACTAGCTGGTCAATGACCTAGGTTGAACATTTTCCTTGCGGTCGGCAATCTTGCCATTTCAGAAAATTGCAATAATCATACTCACATTTTCACTATGTGAATTTGATGTCTTTGACATTCGCCCGATTAACGTTCGTAAATTCGTAGTTTGACATACGCATACGCATTCCTTTAAATGCATTTCGCTTTAAAGCCGCTCGCCTTATTAGAGCTGTCCCACCCTTAGGGCCTGCTTCAAAAACATACTCTAGTGAAGCTAGTCACGTCTAAAGCATGCCTCGACGGGGGCGACCGTGGTAAAAGGGCAGAAATCAAAGCCATGGTATTACGTTTTGTTGCATTCGCGATATAATAGTTTCATGTTTGCATATATTTTTGTCAAAGTGCTACAAGCTTTCGTAGCCATGATCACACAAACATTTTGACTCACGAGCGTGTCGCAACCCTCATAGAACACGCGCGTTGGAAAAAGCAAGGCAGATGAAATGTAGTACCTTCATAGTGGTGGGCAGGTAGTCGAATGAGATTTCTAGCGCGGGGTCGGCTACCTCAAATCGAAATTTTGAGCTATTCGGAATGATTTCGAGAAAATCGATACCACCAATCAAACCGCACGCGTCTGACATAATGGCATACAGGCATAAAGATATCTGGCCAACAAAGAGCCACAAGGGCCCATCGAGGTTGCCCTACGTCAGGTTCTGTACGCATCGTCGAAACTGATCACCTAACCTGCAAAAATTCAGCTAAAAATGATATTTCTAGACCGAAAGAATTTGTCTAAGCGGTTTTTGAAGTGGTGCTCTGTACTCTGAGTAGTCTGGTTTGACGGGACTCGTGTATTAATAGGTGAAAAGTACAAAAAGGCAAGGAACTCTGAAGGGAGCGTCCCACCGTTGGGGTCCATCTCATGGACATACTCTGGTGAACCCAAAGAAACATCTACGCCTCATATCACTGGGTGGTGCCGCTGTAGCACCATCAGAGTATGACAAGGACATCGATTTTCATTATTTTCGAGTCAAAACTACGCTGCCAGCATTTTATAACAGCACTACACTTCTCCCTTTCTTGGTGACCACACAGTGTATACCCAGCCCGCGACAAATTGCAGTTGTCGCGACCGCCGTCGCCATGATGGGCGCAGGATCTGTCGAGGGCCGTTGTCAGCTGTTACGGGTTAGAAGTACCACTTTTCAGCTGCTTTAACTCGCATATTGCGGGACTGGGGGCTTTAAAGTGGCATCTCAATGCCAACCAAAGCGACAATGATCTTTACCAAGGCCGCTGCAGAAGCACGCTTCAGCGCATGGCGTGCACTGTGAATAACTCCGACATATAGCATGAAACGGGCGTAATTACACCGGGTACAAGCAAGGAAGACCTAGAGATCTTGTTCTTATGATGGTGACATTTATGATTTTACGCGACATGGTGATTTTTGACTTATCATTCTGACAATAAATGGCTGTCATCATCGCACAAAGCACTACTTCAACGGCATTATCAGGCGTCCCCAACCAACGAGTGGCTAGCAAACTTCCTGATACATCGACAGTCGATTATGGTCAGAATAGGTCAGTCGTTTACACTTAAGGGTGCGTCAATAGAAACGGTCATTTTGTCCGCATCTCCAGTATTGTCAGCATAATAACCATCTATTATCATAGCAAGAGCTCGGTCATCAGAATACGAGCTCACGGGTGGAGTGGAGCAACAAAGGTCTTTTAGCTAAAAACGAGGCAAGAAACGGGGCGAGACCCGACGGAGTGCTTGGAGCGTCAGGCAGCGGAAGTACGGAAAGTAAGATCGCGCGTGAATAACCACAATTAATTATATGCGGACAAGCTTTCAAACATGCGCCTACTGATCGGTTTGTTTCCACGGTTTGTTCCGCTTAATATCTCGCTTTCCGCTTCCATGCCAATTGGACGATGGCCAAATAGTGCGTTTTGAGCGCACGACCGCGTCCGACGGAAACCTCAGTCGCGCGCAGTCGGCATGTCGTAGACTCCCACCTCTCCATCCCACATTCAGGCTGCACCCTCCCAGCACCGACCGACCTCTAGCGGCGCCTCGATGGCGGCCGACGACGCCTCGCCGCCCGGTGTCGGGCTGTTCGCCACCCCGCTGACCTGCGAGGATGACCTGCGCCGCGTCACCAAGATCTGGGACGAGGGCGGCTCGAACGTGCGCGCCGCCCTGCTCGCCAGCTTCCTTTGCCGCTTCGACACGCGCCCGGCCGCCGACCTGGAGGCCGGCCTGGTGGGCGGCGCGAGCCTGCTGCTCGCCCGCCTCGTGGCCGCACTGCGGCTTAACGGGTCGCACTTCAGCGGCGGCGACGTGCCGGTCTCCTGCGTGCCGCTGTCGCCGCTGCTGGCCGCCGTGCGCGTGTTCCTGCGCTCGCAGCAGTGCCACCGGTTCGCGGCCGAGGCGCTGGAGGCGGGTGCGCTGGACGCGCTGCTCGCCACACTGCGCCGGCCGCGGCTGCGCGCGCCGCACGCCGACGCCGCGCTGCGCACGCTCGCGCCGCTGCTGTCGGCCGGGCGTCGCTTCAAAGAGGCGTTCGCCGCCGCCGACGGGCCGCGCGCGCTGTGCGAGCTGCTGGGCCGGCCGGCGGCCACACCCGCTGTCGCCGACCGCGTCGAGCGCCTGCTACTGCAGCTGCACGCCGGCAACCGGCGCTACGTCGACCAGCTGGCCGACTTCATGTGTCAGCTGACCGAGTCGACCGAGACGGCGGCGCAGCTGGTGGCATGTCGGCTGCTGGCGGCCGTGCTACCGCAGGCGCCGCTGCGGCAGCGCGCCGCCGTGCCGCCGCTGCTGGCGCTGCTGCGCCACCCGGACGTGCGGCTGCACGTGGAGGTGGCAGGCTCGCTGCGCGTGCTGATGACCACCGGCTGCTGCAGCACGGTAGTGCGCGGCCTGGTGGCGCTGCTCTTCCCGACGGACGCCATCGCGGCCGACCACCCGCTGTACGAGACGGAACCGGCGCTCAGCGAGCTGTACGCCGTGCCAGCATCACATGTGTTCGGTCAGCAGGCGGCGGCCGTGCGCGTGGCCGCCCTGCTGTCGGCCGGCTGCCCGCGCGCGCTGGACGCCCTGCTGGCGGGCGGCCTGTGCGCGGGGCTGCTGGTGGCACTCTCCAGCACGCCGCACCCCGAGTCGCAGTCGGCGGCGGCGCGCCTGCTGTGCCAGCTGGCGCGCCAGCGGCCGGCCGTGCGCGCGCGCATCGCAGCCTCACTCAACAGCGCGCAGATGGCGCTGCTGCTGCACGACGACCAGCGCCTGGCGGCGGAACTGGATGTGCGCGAGGCGGCGCGCATCCGCCGCGCCGCCGGCTTCAGCTACCCCTGGGACGGCGGCCGTGCGACCGGAGGCGCGGAGGTGAGCGGCGAGCAGCAGGTGGAAGGGACGCCGGGGGAGGTGACAGCGGCAGAGGGGACGCCGGCAGAAGGGACACCGGCAAAAGGGACATCGGCAGAAGGGACACCGGCAAAAGGGACACCGGCAGAAGGGACACCGGCAAAAGGGACGCCGGCAGAAGGGACACCGGCAAAAGGGACGTCGGCAGATAGGACGCCAGCAGAAGGGACGCCAGCAGAAGCGACGCCGACAGAGGGGACGCCCAGAGAGGCAGGGTCTGTGCAGGGGACAGACGATGGGGACATCCGCGGTGAAGCAGCGTCCGCAGAGACGGTGGACGGTGGCAAGGTCACGTCACCGCCCGAGTCCGCAGGAAGATCGAGAGAGTCGAGCGCTGCCAGCAGCGAGAAGGTTGAGGTCAAGCCGAAATAACCATGTGACCTGAGGTGACTATATCCGTACATGAGGCCACAGTGAGCCGTTGCCGACAGATGGACTGGTGCATCGACGGTGACCAGCTGCGATCGCAACATCTGAAGCCTGCTGAACCAGCGTTTGATAGATCAGCGACTCCATTTGCTTCGGAATCCAGCCAAAACACGGCAGAGTCTTATGACGCAACAGCACGTGGCAAATGACAGGACTCTCTCAGACAGCAGGAGTGATCTGATTCACCGATGCATGACGAGTTTTGTGCTGTAGAGATAATAATTTATTTTCACACCCAATTTATCCGGTCTACGAGGGTATAAACGTAAATATGTCGAGGATGTTTGAACAGCAGGGACAAGGAAGGAAAGGAAAGCGCATCCTAAATGCACGCGGCGCCAGGCCTGCCCGCCGCCCAGGCCTTGCCAAGAGTGCCGACTGCTGCTACCGACGCCACTATCAGTTCGGCACAACGACGGTCTACATTAGTAACTCGTTACCTCCTGCAGAACCTGGCAAGATCCAAGCAGCTAGCAGTTCTTATGAATGTCTATTTTCGGGGAGATCACCGAAATTCACACAAAAGCAAGCTGACTGTAACAGTGAACAGATACACAATCGGTACTCAGCGACAGGCGCTCTGGGTTTGTCTTGCATTACCCGCTGTGCCAATACGGCATGATTGGCATACTTTTTCATCCATCTCAGCATTCACTACTGCGTATCTCCTACCGGCGACTGCATTTCACGTACGAGGCAATCCACGTTCCCTCCGATTACCCCGCACACGCGCTCCCCCACACCCGTCAAAGGCGAGGCACACTGCTGGAGCGCCACCCCGCCCGGCCGCCGGCCCTCTCCTCACCACCGGCGCACCGGCGGCCGCAAGTCTATCGACATACGCGCGCGTGCGTCCGTCAGCTGGCGGACACGCGCAGCCCGGCGGCGGCCAGCTGCTGCCGCTCGTCGTCCGTCACCGGCAGCGTCTGGAGCAGCGAGTCGGCCATCGCCGGCGCCGCCTCGAAGCCCATCTCGGCGGCGTATCGTGCGCACAGCTGCGGCGGGAGCGGCACGGGTGAGGACGGCGCCGGCACACATCGGGTCTCGGTGCATAGTCGCCGGAGGGTAGGGTAAGGTACGGGTCTGCGACAGTTCGCAAGGTGGATCATCGACGGTCGGCCGCAGCTGGAGCCGTGCGGGTGAGCTTTATGCAGGGAGCAATGCTGGGAGCGGGCATCACATCCGAGGCAGGGCGCATCGGAAACACAGCGGAGCTGATATTAAAATGTCCGGCACTGGCTGGTCTGGACCGGCTGGTCCGGCGATTAGTGGTCACGACAATCAACTGAATCATGGAGGGCACTAAGTCCCCACACAAGGTGCCGTCCAACGAAGGCAGCAAAAAAGCACCAGCGGCGATTAAGTCAAAACGAGAAATCCATGTCCGGAAGCAAGAGCGTAGTTTCACGCAAAATGAGTCGGTTGAAGAGCGGGGGGGGGGGGGGGGGAGGGGAGGGCTGCAGAGTGGAAAACTTAAGCCTCCCGAAAATATCCCAGAGATGATTTTCGCCCGGATTCGACCCACTTATTTCCCAAAGTTAGGGCGGGAGGGGGGGGGGGGAAATGAAACCCCTGAACTGAAAAGGAAACCACACTCCTCTACAAAAATACGATCATCATAAAACTAGTGAACGGGGCTGACGTCAGAAAGGCAGCAGGCCTATCTGCAGTGAGGCGAAAATGCCGTCGGTTATCCACCACCCACACTGGGTAGCGACATCACGCGGTGCTCTCAAACCCCGCCCGGCCCAGCCTCCCCTCCCCCCCCCCCTCTCCCACACACCCACACACGTCACTCCCTCCGCACGCGGCGGCCCTCACCACGCAGACGGGCGCCCTCTGGTTGACGAGCGCTACGTCGAACAGGCTCTGGACGGCGACGGCGTCCGGCACCCCGACGATGGCCGCCTGCTCGCGGTCCAGCTTGCGCAGCACGCTGGCCGCGCGCGAGATGTGGCCGGCCCGGGTCAGCACCAGCATCAGGTCCCCGAGCATGCCGGCCGCCCAGCTGGGGGTCAAGTCACGTCAGGTCACCACCGGCACCACGTCAGCAAACATGCTGACTTTAGCTGAGATTAGGTCCGTTCAGATCAGGCCAGATCAAACACGGTCAGCAACATCAGGTTCATCAGGTCCAATAATGCCAGCCATCCAGCTCAGGTTGTTTCGAGTCAGGTCAGCACCAGCATCACGTCGCCAAGCATACTTACTGTTGCCTGCAGTCAGGTCAGGCTCAAGGCAGAGCGGGAGCGGAGGCAAACTTCCTAATACAGACACACACACTGGTCGAAGGTGGTTCTGTGGTGCACACACGGAGAACCAATGCCACTGCCATATTATCTGGACTTCTTGCGAGGTGGCGTCCTTGAGGATTGGAGACCGGATAGGATGACTCACTGACTCCGACAACGGACTCCGGAGGAGGTCTCACCAAGCACGCACGCTCCAGCCGGCTAGCAGACAAACTGAGTATGGTCCACCACGGAGATCACCTTCATCACGGTTATCACGACCAGTCGCCTCTCACAGCGAGGCGTGACAGCAGCTCGGCGATGACAACGGCATCCCTCCCATCCCTCATCATCCCTCAGCAAACGGCTTTTCCAACACCATCACCAATAATCCACCTCTTCGGTGGCCATTGCCATTCACAAGCATCTGGCAAACTTGGGTGGCAAAACCACGACACGAACACCACGCTAACTCCACATACAGCACGCATAGACAGGAGACAATGTGGATACCCAGCCGACGACAACACAAGTGCAACACAAGCCACAGAAAGGAGTCGCGAGTCCCGCCCACCACCGCCATACCGCAGCGGTGCGGCGACGGCGAGCCCCGCCGGCTCTCACTGTATGCCGTCGGTCCTTGTGGTGCGCCGCTGCTCGACGCGCTCGAACAGGTCCCAGCCGACGGCGGCCAGCTGCCGCCGGGCCTCGTCCTCCTTGCCGGGGTTCAGCGCCAGCGCGCGCAGCAGCGCCTTCAGCAGGCTCTCGCGGTTGGTGAGTCCGAATGCCACCATGTCGGTCCACAGCTGCGGCAGGTACTCGACGGCGCCGCTCATACTGACCGCGTTCACCAGGCCCTGAGGGCGGCGGCAGAGCGGGCGGTGGTCACGGGGCGGCGGCAGAGCGGGCGGTGGTCACGGGGCGGCGGCAGAGCGGGCGGCAGAGCGGGCGGTGGTCACGGGGCGGCGGCAGAGCGGGCGGTGGTCACGGGGCGGCGGCAGAGCGGGCGGCAGAGCGGGCGGTGGTCACGGGGCAGCGGCAGAGCGGGCGGTGGTCGTGGGGCAGCGACAGGACCGGCGGCAGGCCGGACGGTGGTCACGGGGCAGCGACACAAGCGGGCGGGTAGAGTGGCAGAGAGCAGGCTTTAGTCACGGGGTGGTGGCAGGGAGGACGGTGGTCACGGGGAGCGCACCTCACGCCCAGGCCCGGGCGGCCGGGAGCGGACTGAGATTGTGTTAACCGCGGCGCTGACCGCGGTAACAGCACGCGACGCAGACGCGAAGTCCACAGACGAGCACGGAGCCTGCCTCGGAAAACGCCCCTTCAAACACCGGCGGGCCGGAGCACCAAGCCGAGCAAACACCGGGACGCATATGTCGACCCAGCCGCGGCCTCACCTCCATGATCCCCGGCTCCGGTGTGTAGACGTTGGGCACGAGCTTGTTGTAGAAGTTGGCCATGAAGTCCTCGATGGGCTCCGTGCCGTAGAGCAGTGCCAGCAGGTTGCGGTAGTAGACAGACTCCTTGTACGAGTCGCCGATCAGGTCGTAGTTTGAGCCGGTGTGCAGCAGTTCGTCCAGCCGCAGGGCCAGGTCACGGTCCTGCCAGGTCACCACGGAGGTCGCTACAGGCGGCACACGCCGCGATGGTCCGGGGCAAGACCGCTCGATTCTCAGCGGGGCGACACTCACATCTTCCGGACGTGAGTCGCGAACGGCGCAGAAGCCTGGTCACGCTCTGGGGGTGGGGTGGGGGTCTCGCCCCGGGAGACGTGCCGGCGGCACGGAGAGAGGGAGCCCCAGTCCCGTCCGACAGCTCCAGCCGCGCTCACTGCAGGCCCGCTTCTGCGGGCTGATTGCAGAACTCGCCGCAGATCCTGCAGTCAGTCAGCTGCTGCGGACTGAAGACATCACTTTCAAGCCAACGGGGTAAACAGAGCTCACAAGCGATGATTCCCCATTCCGCTGAACTTCACGACGACAGAATCTGCTGAAAGCCCTGCAGATCCCCCTGTTGCAGACGAGAGATACCACTTTTGAGCCTTTTACCCCACTTTGCGAGCCAGGGGACCTATATGCGGCAGTTCTAGTTCGCAACAACCCGCGGAGGCGGAATCTGCAGCGGATTCTACTCAGTCTGCAAAGTTTGGCCGGAACTTTAGGCCAAGAGCGGGTTTTCCATGGTTCCATGATGCATCCAAAAAACACTGATGAACACAGCGCTCGGTTTAGTTGACATTTGTCTGCAGAAGCTTGGCAAAATGTGAACGGCGATTGTGGCAGCTGTTGATGTCGCTACAGGCGGAACTGATTGGTGCAAGGCCGTCCAACTTACCTGCAGCTTGTTTCTGCAGATACCCATGGCCGTGGTGAAAAAGAATGTGTCCATGGGATGTTGGATGGTGAAAGTCTTGCCCTGAATCTCGTCCATGATCGTCTTAAGCAGATCAGTACTCGAAGCGCCTGCGAAATGTCATCGAGGAGGATACACCAGGTACGCCGAAATCATGGAAAGAGCATAAAACCTAAAAAAACACGAAACAAACACGGTGCTGTAGAATTCGAAGGAGTGGAATCATGCTCCGGGATAGCATGCATGTAATATACCTAATAATTAACATTTATAACACACACATAATAAAGCGCAATTCTATTTTGTTATCATATCCGTTTATGCATATACTGTATGCGTAATTCAATTGGCTGGCCCTCTGCTCCCATCAGAAGAGAACAACCACTTTCCCTCCCAGCAAACAACGCAGCGTAACGACTCAAGCCAGCAGACCTCCAACGAACGTCATCCCTCCGGTTTCAGCAGACGCGGACACAGACAGGCACTCAGTGAGGTCACTCACGATCCCGGTAGAAGACGGAGAGCAGGAAGTAGTAGGAGGCCAGCGTGGGCTGCACACCGAGCTGGCGGAACTCGCGCCACGTGGCCAACGCCACGTCCCGCGCGCGCCGCCACGAGCCCATAGTCCAGACGGCCTGCAAGACGGCCGAGAGCGTGGCCGCGCCCGGCCGCAGCCCCTGACCGGCCATCCGGCGCAGCATTCCCTGGGGCGGGGCAGGGGCGGTCAGCTAGGGCGGCTCGCACCACGACACAACGACGCGTTCTGGGTACTATCAGGTCAACATGGATTATTACCGTTTAGGGTCTTTCACACCTGGCGAGCTGACTGCGGGTTTCGCAACAGATTCTGCAGTTGTCAGCTGCTGCAGGCTAAAGGCATCAACTTTGAGCTCTTTTTACCAGCGGTTTGACGACCAGCGGGCTAAGAGATGGCACCTCCAGCCGGCAACAGCTGACGCAAGCAGAGCCTGCAGCGGATTCCACACACAGTTCATCCACCTTACATCAAGACCAAGCGGCGTGAGCCTCACCTCCACGTACTCCCACTGTTTCTCGGCGCTCTCCATGACGAAGCTGGCCACAGTGATCATGTAGTTGTACGTCTCCAGCTCCGGCTCGAAGCCCCGATTCTGCATCTCTTCCCAGAGCTGCTTGGCCCGATCAGCCTGACGGCAGAGGCGGCGACAGTGGCGCAGTTGTTAGCCGGGGACGCCCATCGCTGCAGCGGCGCGGTCAGATCGGATCACGCCCGGTCGCGTGGCCCCGGGACAGGCTGAGCGTGCCCGTCGGGTGGGCGGCAGCGAGCGAGAGGGCGGCGATGGAGCACACGGAGAGCGGCCGCCCCCTCGGTCAGCGTCGCGTCCGGGCCCCCCAGATCGGGGACAGCTGCGTACCATCACACTAGCCAACAGGTTGACCCCAGAAGTGAAAAGACAGTCACAAAAGCGCACCGCAGGCACCGAGTTGCACAATATCAAGCTACATCTCACATCTTTTATTTAAAACCGTACCGCGCACTCGACGTGCTGGGCAGAGAACTGGCCGATTTTACGGGTGCCCGCTTTTCATCAATGTGCTAAGTCACAGCTACAGCCAAACTGAACCATTTCCAGCCTTGCGCTCACAAGGTGAGACCAAAAGAAAACCGGGTAAGTTAGTTTCTCCTAATAACGCTAGTGCGCAGGCGGCCGTGCGGCCACGCTCAGCCGCGCGCGGCGATTGCCGCAGGCCGACAGCTGGCCGCCGCTGACCTGATAGAACTTGGTCATGCCCTTGATGAGCGTGTTGTAGGCGCGGCCGTCGAGCGGCTCCAAGGAGCGGAACACTTCCTCGGCCACGCCGTTGTCCCTGCGTGGGAGGCGAGGCGTCAGTCTCGCCGGGGTTGGCCGTGACTGGCCGGTCAGGGCAGAGTACCCGGCTCGTCCTCGGTCCACTCTCGGGGCTCGTCTCGCCACACAATGCGCGCGGTCAGTTCAGCTTGACCGCCGGTGGCAAGCGGGTTCGCCTGCGACGAAACGGACTGCCGAAATGCCAATGAGTCCCAAGAAAAATCAAGTCGCTTTAAATCAATCTAGATTCGTAAGCAAACGGACGCGCGTGGTCTTCAAGCGATATGAAACCAAAGGCCATTCGTGACGGATTGTGTACTGCTGTCACAAGCTGTGCAATGCCTGATGAGCAGACAGGCTCGGAAAACCCGAACCTTGGTAAGCATTTTGTTTTCATTTCGCTCCATTTTGACTGCACAAAAGACATCTTATAAAATCTAGTTTGATTTTAATTTCCTTTTGTTTCGTCTCGTCTACAACGATTTTGTTTCCGTAGTGTGTCAATGCACTAGACTATACGAAACGAAGAAATTACCCGGGAGTGTCAAACGCTTATCAGACGAGAAAAGATGCACATCATCAGCTTGACGGCGTGCGCCGAATTTCAACGATTACATCACTACATACAATGGACTGAGAGCGTCCGGCCGCGGAGCCTAAGTAACAACTTGTCTCAGTAACAACTCTGGCCTTATCAAAACCCGCTGAAAGCCCTACACGTCCCCACCATCCCCTCCCCCTCCCCCCTCCCCCCCCCCCCGCCACGGAGCGGCGAGCCGGCCGACTCACTTCCAGGTCTTGCGGGCCTTGTTGCCGGTGCCGGTGTTGCTGAACCAGCGTTCCTCTAGCCGCTCCTCGTCGAGTGTGTCCTCGCCGTTGTAGAAGCAGAGCAGCTCCAGCAGGGCCTGGCGAGTCTCCCGGCTCAGCTCTGGCGGTCAGGCGAGGGGGCGGGGGGCGGGCATCAGACAGACGGCACACCGTCAGCCGGGCACGGTCGCTCCGCCTCACAATAACGACATACCGGCAGACAGGCAACACAAATATATGCCATCTGCTAATATGTGTCAACAAGCCCTCCAGGCAGAGAATATGTCGAACACTGGGATTTAACACTTATCTCTCTCCCAATATTTTAATTCCGACTGCTCCATCAAAAGAAGGCCCTACCGCACCTCAGAGAGGGATCCTACCACGCCAGCGGTCACCTGCCCGCACTCACCCACGTTCTCCTTGGACAGCTTCTGGTAGACGGTGATGGCGTCGGAGACCCGGCCCTGCTCTATCACCTCCTGGAGCACCGCCTCGTCCGCCGCCGTGTTCTCGTCGTAGACGGGCCGCGGCGCGAACGTCTGCGACACGGGCACACCGTCGCTAGTGTGGGGCACGCGGGGAGGACTTGGGACCCCTAGCCCAGTAGTGCGCGGAGTGGGGACTGCGCATTAATCTAATCAGCTTCCATCTAGCCATCCTAACCACGATAGGGTCTTCGTCACTTTGTCGTTCTGGACGCTAGCGGAAGTGCCTACAACATGTTCAAGACGTACCATGTCATCACTGGGCACAATCACATCATGATGGAATAGATTACTAATACAAGACATCATCGGCCGGCGCCGCCACGACTTCGTGGGCCCGGCCCCTCTGTCCCCGCCGGGCCCGCGCGCCAGCGGAGACTGACCTCGGAGAACGGCTGCGCCACTTGGTGCTCGAACAGCTCGGCGTTGCGGTCGCGCACCCAGCGCGCGGCGTTGCGGCCCGCCTCGCGTGACAGGCTGAACATGCGCTTGTCCAGATTGGAGCCGGGCACCAGGTACGGGTCGTCGTGGAACTTGTAGTGGGTGCTCGTCACGTCCCGCCCCACGGTGGAGCTCAGCGCCTGGGCACGCGGGGCGACGGGGGTCGGTTGTCGGCGGCGACGGCGGCCGCGCCCGACTCTGACCGAGCACCACGTGCTGGCATGATGAGGGGATGATTCACACGAGCGTCGTCAGCGTTTCGTCGGGCAGTAATGGGTCACACTAGAAGCCAGTGCAGTGTACGTAGATGACGTTAGCTCTCTGAGAGTTGCAGTTCGCATATTCAGCAAACAAGAACTTCGCGTCCCATGAATCCAAGTCAGATATAGACATCTAGTTGTTGTAGAGCCCATGAAAATAAATTTGAACGGGTACTTGACAAAAAAAAACAACCCATCAAAGCCCCTGGACAGTTATCACACGGGTCTGATATACACTGTGCGTCCGATTTAAGTTCAATCCAGCTGTGACAATGTCCCTCAGATGAAGACCTCACCTTGAGTATATCGGTGGGTGACCTCTTCACATAATCGGGGATCACGATATCATCGGTCTGAGAATGAGCACCACCCTGACTGTCTGTCGAAACTGTTGTTTGGGATGATGTACAGTACCTTAGTCTCCTGTATCTGCAAACAAATGGTAGAAGTATTACACACATGCATGATAATTTTGGATGCTGGCAGGTAAGAAAATGGAGCCAGCTGCCTTTTAAGTGCAATTAGCTATCACTGAATACTTGAATACAGGCCATAAAATGACCTTAAATTTCACTATCAGCAATCCGCAACATACCAGGGGGCAGGAAAGGCTGGTTAGAATAACAAGCATATAGGGAAGAAAAATATAGACACCAAACACTCCAGCCTGAGATAATCCCTGTCGTTGGATCCCGTTGGGTCAGGACTGCCGACCATTCATTCCTAACTGAATTTTGTGGTCCCAATAATTGCTGAGATCTGGCATCAGCCCTCAACATGCGCTCGGGTGACGGGCCAAACTGACCCCCGCGAAGGTTTTCCGGAATGTTTCCGAACGCAGTTGAGTAGCAGATCGTTCGCCAACAAAAATTTAGATCTACCTTGTAAGGTCGCTGACCTATAGCATGCCAAAGTCGGGCCAGCGAAGGCAATTTCTCGAGAATCGTTCAATCTGATGCAACAACAGAATGTTAGATGAAGCCATACATCTTTGAGACGCTTTCCTAGGCAACACAAATATTGAATGAGCAAATTATGTTGACCTAAGGTTAGGTATGAAGGTCAGGCCAAGGTCAAAACCAACCTGTTTTATTGCTCTAGGGCATGCTGTATCAGACAGTTTCTGGTGATCATTCCGGATTTATTGATAGCAGGAACCCCATTATACATCTTCTGTGGACTTCTTAGAGGTCAGAATAGGCCATTGACCTAAAATGACCCAGGTCAACATTTCATTTCTCAGAACATACCATGTAGAGTAATCTTTTGTCACTTTTTCAAATGCAAAACTCAGATCAGTTTTTTATGAATTTAGTCACCATGACCTTTAAAAGGTCAAACAAGGTCATAGATTAGGATAGATTATGGCCTTAGATTAGGATATGACCTCTTGCTTACAAACAGTTATCTAGGTTTTGGGGACACTAGAGACCAACCTGACATTGGACCTTGTTTGACCTTACTTGAGCCAAAGGTCATGACCTAGGAACCTCAAATTTTGCCCTAAGTGAGTTCACATACAGGTCAACACACCCTATAACTTTGATGTCTCTAGCTTTCTTAGTTCTCAAGACCTCAGGGGAGGGGTCAAATTGACCCCCTTCCCTCACCTGAGCGAAGGGTGTCTAGCCGGCCAGCCGGGAGTGTGTTAAAAAGGTTCAAACATGTGTGGATCCATGGTTTACACCTGAGAGCATGTGAATGCCTGTATGCATCAACTCACATGTTTGTCCATGTCATTGTATGCTTTATCCAGTCAGAACATGCCAGTCATATGTTACCACCATAAAGGGTCCTCAAAATCTGGATTCAGTTCTGATCTATGTCCTTCAGATTCATCAGAACTTGGAGCTTTAATTGTTTCCATGGGGATGCAATGAGGGAGGTGACATATTGGTGAGATTGCAATGTTACTGGAAAAACTGGCTTGATCAGACAGCCTGTGAGCAAATGGTTATAATAACCTGCATAATCTGTATATGTGCTCCTCTAGTCAAGTTATCCAGTTGTGTTGCAGCTTGCTTATTGTCACTTGTTATAGCAGTACCAAAGAGTATAGCTTAAATGCCTTTCTTAAGTACATCAAACTAACTTGATCATGACATCATGATCAATATACCATTACATTGATATTGGAGTGATGTGAAAGCTTCAGTTTATGATGTTTTTACTCCAAAAAACACGACCTGACGTATCCTTGACCTCAAATGACTGAAAGGACATAATGCATGGGGTGCATAGTTTGATATCCTACCAGGGTTCTGCAGACATGGTGAGAACCACAACTTGACCTGAAAGTTTAGGCCTGGTTAACATCAGCACTATGCAGTTGGTTTACCTTGAACAAAAGCCTCTGGCCCTGATTCCACTGAATTTCAGCATCACCCTGCATGTATTTGAGGCCATCATTTGACCTGAAAAAATGATGCCAGTAATTAATAACATAGTGGTGCCAACAAAAATACCACCAATTAAGGGCCAACAAAAGCATAGCATGCAGAGCATCACATCTACCATCTTCCTGATATATAAGGCATTTCATTCAAGCATGTTCTGAAAATGGAAAGCTATTAAGCATCACATAATCTGAGCACAATATGCATTACCAGCCAGAAATTGTTTTACCATTACCAGAAAAAACAGTAGCAGAAGGCACTGATAAATGGTATGCAATGCAGCATAAACATGTGCATTTAAAAAGACACCAAGCACCAGGTGACATTGGCACCAAGTTCAAAAACACAAAAACCTTACACTGACATGATAAAATAACACTGATTAAGATGGAACTTGTCAGTCAACAGCACTATTTATATTTTACCATTTCATTTAACATAGTTTTCCTTTGGAACAGGAAAATGGGCAGCCCACCACCTTTGAATTGTAGCTTGCAGCTATTCCAGAGATGATCAAATAAATACTAGACCGGCGATATGCCGAACGCAAGATTTGGAAAATGGTCAAAGAAATCAACAGGGAGAATAAGAACCCCGTCAAAAAGAGCTTTCATATAGTGTCTGGTGTCCACTCCCAGGGATCCATTTGTTCAAAACGTGGGGACGAAATCGATATAAATAAAACAGACAATCACACACCAAGACATAAGACCATCAGCATAACACATCCCAAACCGCAGACCAGGAGCATTCGCATACCATGCGGCAGTTGCCCAAGACAATCTGCTGTATTGTTTGCTTTAATGCCACAGGTGCGCGAGGCTCGTAGCATATTCACAAATGCATCGTTGTATGGGATGACATAATAAAATACGAAAAGTATGATAACTTGGTTTTGGTAATGACCAATTTTTTCTGACGTAATTTATGTAATAAAATTCATACTTCATTGTATTTGCATTATTTTATTCTTGATATATGCCATAAGTTTGTAGCTTGTTTGAATTGCGTCATTTACTTACTTCGCCCGTAGCCATAAAGTTTGTTTAAGTTTTTTCTTTAGAATTGAGCCCCATTTGAACCAACAACGGTGGCCTCGGTCCGGAATGTGTTGTGTTGCGGTACTGCCGGGATTATCGCGGTCAGATTTGAGTGGGAGATGGGCGGGGAGTTAAGGGCGTAGTGCGAGGGATGCGGTAAAATCGCTATTCGACAGCATTTTTGGGCGGTGGGATAAGGTCAACAGGAGGATGTTAAATGGTATGCTGGGTGCCGACGTCGCCTGATGTATTTTACTGGAGGAGGACATCGGAACCCCGGAATTCACTGTATCGGCTGTATCGTTAACATAACTCATACGCGTAAGAACGTGGGGGAGGTCCGTGGATGCCACGGTACCCACACTTCTTGACAATCCGGGTTGTTAACACTGGCGAGGCATATAGAGAATTGACCCTGAAAGTGCTCTTGACACCCTCACATCCTGAGACGTTATTTACCAATGGACACTATGTTATATCCATTTCTGTGTTTCAGGCTTCTGATCTCAGACTGTCATTCAGAAAATGTGAATAATGACCACACTAGAGGCAGAAAGAATAGAGAAGTATGTCAAGGACAGGGAGCATCAAAATGATGTGGAAAGGGATTTGAAAGTTAATACTTGGAAGGATGTCTTTGCAAAAGTAAGTTAAATGGCATGTATTTGGTCTGGTGCTGTGGATACATGGCTTGGTACTTGTTGAGCTAGAGGACCATTGGCTCCTAAGTTGTGCTGAAAGTTAATCTTTTTTGTGTTCCAGTTAATGTGGGACACAATTTTAAAAGCACTTCCTCAGAACATGCATAAAAGCTGTGCAGAAGCTTCTTGTCACTGAAAGGACATTGTACTGGGGTGTGAATATCATCTTGTATTGCTTTCACTGTCTTGAGATCAGCAGTGGTGGTGTTGTCTCCCTTGTGCCAGCCCTGTCAAATGTGTTATTACATATATGCATCATGCTTCACTTGTCTCCAGAAATATTAATAGATGCTCTGTTGGTGAAGTATGAATAGTTGACTGGTGCACTTCCTCATCATGCCACACTATGCTGTCTAGACTGCAGTCCTGGGGTATAAACTTGCAACTCATGTGAGGATATTTGGCAGTGGTTTCCAAAATGGTGAGCTGATGTTGGGTTGGAGGGTCACCGAGATACAAGCTGATGTTGGATCGAGAAGATGATGAGCCGATGTTGGGAAGGAGGGTCGTGAGCGTGATGAGCTGATGTTGGGTTGGAGGGTCGTGAAGATGGTGAGATGATGTTGAGTCAGGAAATGATGAGCTGATATTGGTACTGAGGGTCGCAGACAGGAGGGTTGTGTTTGTGGGAGGGGGGGGGGGGGGATGGACAGCACCTGAGACAAGTGGACGCTGTTGCAGATGTTCCATTCAACACGTGACTTACTCTATTTCGCCGGTTTTTCCCTGGCTTCGTCTGTGAGGACGGGGCCTGGGTTTTCGACTCGAGTACACATCTCGGAAATTGGAGCAATGTTTGAGACCCATGTGAAACCTGATATGTTCCAAGAACTTGAGGATCAGCCGTTTTACCCTCAAAGACACAGACTATGATCGGATCCTCGTTTTTTTTCTTTGCTTTTCCCCTTCTTCCTTTCGTGTGATGATTGATGACCTTGATTCCTTTGACACGCGCCCGGGTGCCCGGTTGAATACTCTTCACTTCAGTGGGGCTGGGGTCAATTTGGCCCCCTGAGATCTCGGAAAAGAAGGTAGCTAGTAACGCCAAATTCACAGGGTGGGTTGGCCTTCACGTGAGCTCACTTGTGTGAAATTTGAGGTTCTTAGGTCATGACCTAGAGGCCAAATAAGGTCAAACAAGGTCAAATTCCAGTTTGGTGTCGTAAGTGTCTGCAAGCATCCTCATACAATCGCCGTGAAGCCAGATACCTGTTCTGAGCGAAAGGTCAAATGCTTTCAATTAGGGTCAGTGACCTTGGTTGACATTTGTAAGGTCAAGGTAACCAAATATCACGAGATCGTTCCTATGTTTCCATTGAAATACGCGTCAGGGATTAGGCCGGGCGGTATGTTACTAAAAAAGTTAACCGTGGTCGTGTTAGGTCAGTGACGTACTCTGACTTAAGAATTCCATTAAACATGTCTGTTACGTTCCCTGTCATTGATAAATGTGAAATGAGCACCAGAAGCTACCCAACAAACCAAGCTCTCGAGCAAAAAGCAGGCCAGTTTTGACCTCGGTCTGACCTGCCTACCGGACCCTGGGTCAATGGAATTGGTTGTATTTCTAAACTCAAATGGCTTATTGCCTAAGAACCTCTCTCGGATGTGCATGGCTCCGTCTAACGCTCTGCTGCACTACATTGAATGCTTCTTTCAAAAAGCCCTGTGCTGACAGCCACGGCCTGACTTTGACCTGCCATAGGTCAATGGCCTTGTAAGTTACATGTAATTTTTTACGTCAAAAGATCCACTATTCAATTCTCTACAGTGGTGCGAAGTTTGACGCGGCTACGCCGCGCCGTTCAGAGATCATTCTGGAAAACCTTCGGGATTCCTTTTGACTCCTAACCCCACCCAAGCGCGTGTTAAAGCGGTGTCTTGTAGCGCTTGCTTCATAGTATCATGCCAGGATGGAAACCTTCGTCAAAGGACCAAGCGGCACTTGGTCACGGATCATAATTTCTAGTAAACCGTAGAAATGTCTACAAGTTCATCAATTAACACATTGTTCGTGATGCTTCGCGGGATGAGTTCGAGGGATCACGCTAGCAAGGGATTACAGTTGACTGCGTTGGCGAACAGTACCAGTCGCGATCTTTGTGCTCGTGGTGAATGTACATGTCCACACAGATGTCTCAGCATGGGTGCAATTGACCTCGCTGGAAAACTCATTGAGAACTGCACGTAGACATGTGTTCCGTGCGAAAAGTAACTTGCAGTCGTGCTGAACCTGGGTCCTGTTAGCTGTAAACGTGATAAACGGCTGTAATCGTTCGGCGGATCAATCTAAGGATGTGGAGCTGAAGGCGGCCAGGTGCTCTGAACGAGTTTTAAAAAGTTTTGGTTGCTATCACGAACTTGGATTGACGTCATGGGTTTTCTCCGTCTGGAAAAATGCATTCTTCACTCCTCCGCTGTAAGATTATACTCATTTCGGCATGACCAGCCGCATTATGTTAATTTGAGAACCGCTGTGTGAGCCCAGGTGACAGCTGTGATCTATGTCTGAAAATCGAAATTTCTGACGGGAGATTTGATAGCTGTAAGACGTTTAAAAACCCCCATATGTTACTTTCTTGTATACGTACTCGATAAAATGTATTTTCTGGTTACATTGGGAGAAAGTATTTTAAACGAAATGTATAAATAGGACAATGAAGGAGTAAATGATATTCATAGTATGAATAGTACGGGCAAGGAATAAATGATAGTCGCCTGACATCCAGTAACGACCCTTGACATATACAAAAGCGAAAGATGAGTAGCACTGGTAATGCAGTGATAAGCGTCATTGATACAGTAGCAGGGACGCCACCAGAATTTGATGCTACGAAGGAGTGTGCTGGGGAAGGGGGGGGGGTCAGACGATGGTCAAAGAAGCCCATATTGTTATCCTGGGCTCAAACTTCTTATTTGGGTAAGGACCCATGGGAAAATGGTATACATGCCGCCAGCAGGCTTCACGGCACCTCCCCAGGGACGTGTGAAGAATTTCGCAATTGTGTGTGTGGGGGGGGGGGCACTATGTAAAGTTTTTCTTGAAAATCCTGCTTAGCGCACGGCAGGCGCGCGTGCATGCTATCGATTTACTTATTTTTAGCGTATTTTCGCTCATGTAGCAAACATGGCGCAAAATGGTAATGGTAGTCAGTGTGCGCTAGCACCTCAATCGTCGGCCATTTAAAATGCAATCGATTTTATACGATGGGGCACACACCTTTATGGACCACTACTTGAATGTAACCCCGCCTCCCTCCTACCCCTTCCCCACGTTGACGACGCCCACGTCCGTGGACTGCAGCCAAGGGTATGGTTTCTTATTCGGTTGTAGCGAGGATTCCCCTCCCCTTCGCCTCCCAGTTGGGCTCCAGCCCCCCCCCCCCCCCCCCTCCCCCGCTGTCCAACTGTGCGAAGAAAGTGGGTCAAATCCCTGTGGAAATACGTTTATGGGTGTATTTTTGGGGTGTGTCGGGGATATGTCATCATTCACACTGCTCAGACCTCCGCACTACTATTTTTTTCGAAACTACGCTCCTGAATGCGGCTTAGGGTCACAATACTCAAATACATGGTTTAAGAAAGGATTTGCTGCTACGGACTTTGCGACTTTTGTCGTGGAAACTTTTGCACATCGTCCTTTAAGACCCAAAGATTTAGTCATTGAAAGCGCAGAAGAAATAGTTTCAAGATAAAACTGTTCAAGCCATGTTAAACCAGTCGTTTGGCCTGACCCGAAGGGAAAAAAGACTCGGGGTCAGTGGCCCAAGCTGGTTCATTTGGAGTGAGTCTGCCATGTTACGCCAAGAGGAAGAAAACCTTTGTTTATTTATGTTTGGCTAAACCTGCTGTATTGAAAATAATCCGATGACGTTTGCAGTTGCATGCATGCGTTAATGAAAGGCGCGAAGCCACACGTTTTGAATGGTGAGTTGGGGGTACATACAACGAACTTTATTTGCGGTGTGCATGCACTGAGGCCATATCTTCTGGTTCGTCACGAAGGCTCACTACAGGGTTGTAAATGTGGAGCAAACAACGTCAATGCAAGATACCGGCCACTTATTACTGGTGAACACTGTGATTTGTTAAGCAGTAGGCTCCGGCGGTAGGGTTTATCCATGGCGTATGAAGTTCCCAGCCGGCGCTGCACGCACTCCGTGGGAATGCGAAACCACAATTATGGGAATGCGAAAATAACTGGTGGCACTCCTGTTAATGCTTTGTTGCATTTCCATTGAATGATACGGTTTTCTTGTGGGAACGCAAGGAATCGCCCCCAAGATACGGGGAAGCACGCTTGTAAACGCGGAGAATTGCATTGCAGTTTCGCGTGAATGTCGGGACTGTATCGACTATTACCGCGATAGGGCGTAGCGTTTTCACTGCCTGACTCATGCTCAAGTTTGGAAATACTGGGCCGTTTCAGAAAAGCATAGGGGCGATGGGGAAGGCAGAACACTGCCTGACTCAGGCGCAACTTGAGAAATACGCGGCGTTTCAGGAAAGCATAGGAGCGGTGGAGAAAGCGGGGCACCGCAGGCTGAACCACCAGCTGTATGACCAGCAGAATGAACTTTGCGAGGAGCAGAGGCTACTGCAGGTAACGACCCGGCTTGTTTCACACATATTTTGATCATAGTGTGGGTGGTCAATTGTTTTCATAAAGAACTAAATGATAATTATTGTAATGTCATTAGTATGAAGTTAACTTACGGTAGAGGTTCGACGGCTCGCTGGAACATGCTGTAGGTCTTCCTGAGCGGTGAACGATAGGATGTTTTCAGTACTGGACTGAGACGCACCAGCTAATCTCGTCTCAAATGGAAGAGTCCATAGCAGCCGTCGTCTCTTGCTGCATTGTTACGCATCTTCGATGTTGTCGCAACACGTGCGCTGTTCTGGCCCGCAGAAGCTGGATGAGCGCGAGGCTGAGGCCCACCGGGTGGCTCAGGAGACCCTCCTGGCTGAGCAGCTCGCCAAGCTGCGCGATGACAAGTTGCGTGATGAAAAAGAGAGGTAGGGTGAACGGCAATACCATTTCCCTGGAAAGGCGTGGCATTCACGCAAGTTTTGCTGCACGCCATTTGACCAGATGTTCCCTTGCGTCACAAGGGCCACTGAGAACACTACCCGAAACGGGAATAGATGGCGCTGCTGTGCGCTGGTGAAGTGTCATAATGCGCTACCAATATCAGCCAATAACATGTGTTGAGTGTTGGAAGACGGGGTCTCTCCCGAAGCCATCGGCGAACGCTGAATGTTACCCTGATTTAATGGCGCTTATAGCAAATCTTAGATCATGTGCCTTTTTGTCGGATCGGCATTCATCAGTGGGATGGCGACAGCCAACCAGTGAGGGTGGTCGGGGGTGTTAGTCCAACCAGTCGGGATGGTCAGGGGTGTTGGTCAGCTCGGTTCCACTCGTCTGTGTTGCGCCTTACTCTTAGGGACAATGGTTTTCCGCACGCTGGTAAGAAGTTGGTAACTCGGCGGAGCTGTGCTGTCAGAAAAAGACGAGGGAAAGTTGTACCTTGAAGTAGGGTTGGCGGGCGTCATATGCAAGGAATAAGCTAAACCTACGCTTGAGAGGAAAGTGCTTCTCTGCTGCTATCTAAAAAAAAAACTGCAGTGAAGGTGGGTCTAAATGCCAATAAGTATGGACACGTTTTGAATATCACCACCGTCATCGCGCGCGGCCTGGAAGCTAAGCACAGAGCAAATGCTTGGAAGGTCGAGACAAATTCGCCCTGGTGCCTTTTGGCCAAGGTTGGGAGGTGCTGACGAAATAGGATTTTAAATCCCATATGTGCCTCAGCCGCAATCTGCAGCGCTTCCGCTTCTTGATAAGATTTAGACAAACACTTCTGATCGACATGGGGTATTATCAGCTCTCAGCGGGTCGGTACACTAAGTGGTTTGTTTTGAAATCCTACTTAGCGTGGATTTTAGTTGCACGTGAAGTTTGCAATTTAAATCTTATCAAACAGAGGGTTTTTTTAGACCGCAATGAGCGATAAGGTAGAGAAATCACGTAAGTCGCTATTCCAAGTGTAAAATCTGAGCTTTTGAGGACGAGTTTGAAAGACTGGCCTTGTATACCGAATCATACACGCCCGATCTGTTTGCGCACTGTACAGTTTAATTTCGATCTGATGTTAGGCTTTTCTCCCATAGGAAATCAGCGTCTGAAGCCATTCAGGAGTAGTCCAAAGTGCACATTTATAACGAACTGTTCAAAAGTCATCAATTTTGCGGCACACGTCTACGAAGTTACTGCGTTCGTTGTCGAGCGTTCGAACATGCCCCGCGTGTTTCACCACGCCGACCGCCCCAGCCTGAGAACGGCTAGCGTGAGTCGCCGCCGTTATGTTCTCGGTTTGAAGCCGGTTCGCTTTAAGGGCAAACCATTCTGGCTAAGTCCGAGCTCGGTCCGAGTGCGGGCCGCGTGCTGGCCCGCCATGCCCACACAAATAGCGTAAGAGGCCCCGTAAAGGCCGGGCGCCCGACATCGGGCGCGGCGCGCCGGGCGCTGCCGAGTTCTGAATGGGCTGTGGCTAGCGTGACGAACCGCGGTTCGGTATGCCCCAGATTGAATCTCACGGACAAGCGGAGTCCGTTCGCTGGAGAGCCTCGACCAGTTATGTTGATGTGACCATAGCGACAGATTGCGTCTAAAGTGGACCAGCAGGATGTGGAATTGCCCAGTCACTGCAGTCTAACTTTCTCTTGACTTGACAGGGCGGCTTTCTTTTAAACGGCGAGTACAGCGCTGTTAGTGCAAAGCTACAATGTACAAGCTCCCGTTTTTAGGTGTGCCGCTGCAGTGGCCGTTTTGATATGACTGCTGCAAGGAAGGCTGAAACACGCGTTCTTTTCGGTTTTGCTAACGCTACGGACTTGTTTGTTTGTAGCGATTTCACGACAAGGGCTGCGGTAAAAGCACATCCCTGTTCACGTTGCTAGATATTACGGTCCTTCTCGTGTGGTGGCGATGATTCAGAACGGCCCGGGATAATCAGCAATGTTGTCCTGCATTTGTACGGGAACCCTAACGGTGCTTCTGGTCATCAGTCGGCAGCATTTTCAGCAGCAGGTGTGGCACTATCCGCCTCCCAAGTGAGTCATTCATGTAGTGTAGCGCACGGGTATTGATTATGCATACATGTTGTCACACTGGGCTTCATCACCATAGCGTGACTGACAGAAGCGCCTCTCCGTGTCAGAGGAAGAGTCGCCGGACAGCATGACCTTAAACACCGCAAATTACCAGGCTGGACGCACCGACGCTTTCTCACACGCTCTCGAGAGGCCCCGAGCGCGAGACCCACTCTGTCCAGGGGCCTTACGAGGAGCGGCGAGGCCCTGGGCGCACTGTCAGTGGGCGGGTGCCTCCCTCTCGGCTGGTGAGCAGGGCCAGCTGACGCTCCAGACGGCCTCAGGAGAGCAGCGTCATTCGGTCGCCTTGCGCGCGCCCCAGCGCATGGCGTTTTGCCGACACACACACCGCCTACCGGTGGCGGACCCTCCCGGAGACTGTTCATCTTTATCAGTGCTGTACCGTACACTGCTGACTTGAGTCTCAAACTGAAATAAATACAATAAATAGGTAGTAAACTTCACCGTATTGCGGTGGACATGCCCTCTCCAGGTGAGTTATTACATTCTATCTATGAGACCGATATAAATATATATATATATATATATATATATATATATATATATATATATGTATATATATACGATATATATATATATATATAAATATATCACGATATATATATATATATATATATATAACTCAAAGATAACATGTCTGTGGAAAGATAGCGAGCTTTGCGTCCTCTTTAGTGTATTTCTCGGATTTGAGACTGCAGTCAACAGTGTACGCTATACCATACCTCATCTGTCTGGACAAAGTGGCGTGGTGCCAGCGAAAGGAGCAAGTGCCACTGATGTTGTCGCTGTATGTTGATGTGGCGGGCGTAAGTGGCCGATCCCTTTATCGTTGGTGAAATGATCACGATCCACATCATGACGAACCCGCGAACGGGCATGGTTTACCGCTACTGATATGTTGTTCAATACTGCTGTCCATGTTCATGTGTTTGTCTTCAAAACATAACATATATGTTGTTGAATACTGCTATCCATGTTCATGTGTTTGTCTTCAAAACATAGCATATATGTTGTTGAATACTGCTATCCATGTTCATGTGTTTGTCTTCAAAACGTAACATATATGTTGTTCAATACTGCTATCCATGCTTCATGTGTTTGTCTTCAAAACGTAACATATATGTTGTTCAATACTGCTGTCCATGTTCATGTGTTTGTCTTCAAAACATAGCATATATGTTGTTGAATACTGCTGTCCATGTTCTTGTCTTTGTCTTTAAAACGTAATATATATGTTGTTGAATACTGCTGTCCATGTTCATGTGTTTGTCTTCATGTCTTCAAAACGTAACGGATATGTTGTTGAATACTGCTGTCCATGTCCATGTGTTTGTCTTCAAAACGCAACAGGTGTGGGCGTGTATAATTTAGAGTCGGCGCCTAAGCTTAACATCCTATCCGAACCGAGCGGACGCTGGCGTCTACTCACACCCGGATTATTGAACGGCATTGTATGCGACCGCTTTGCCCTCTCGGCCACAGGACCTACACCACGTGGCCTTAAATGATGACGCACAGTTGAGCCGCCACATTCGACGACTGGGCTCTTTTTTAATGCAGCATGCTCAGTAGTGCTGTTTCATTCAGGTTTTCCTTCGTTCGGTTTCGGACGCCTTGTTCCTGCTTGCGATGCCACGTAAGACGTAAATGTACTATACTGCTCTGCTGATTAGCGGCAGTGCCCAGCTCATAGCTCTGCCCCAGCACCTGTGACAAGAATGACTAGGTTTCCACCTCCCAGATCTGCCCCGTCACTGTACATCCAATGGAGAACAGTTATGTGCTTGCATCGCGCTGCGATGTGCCGCTCCTGCTGTGGTGAAACTGTCAAACAAGCTGTAGTTCGCTCCGCTGTCGGCGTCAGATGTTGGCTGTCTGGTCTAAGATACGATGATTTCATTAGAGATTGCCCTGAAGCTCGCGTTTTGGGCTGCATGCAAACTTTTAACGTACGTGAGCAGAGCAATAGCTGCCGAGTTGCCGCGACTTATTTTCCTAATCGTGACCTCAGTTTACTCCTCTCGTGCTTTTAAGTGGTCAATTAGCACTGATAATATATAGAGCCCGTGGAATGCGCCATCTATCATTTTCGGCGCTGAGACTACGTGGCAATGAGAGCTTCAGGTCAGATTGTTGGCTTTGTTCACGCTCCGTGCAAATCGTGACGGAGGTGTTCCTCCAGCCGGTAATGCAGGCGTTTCGAACAAAGTATAAACCTCAAAGTACCCCCCGGACCCGGACGCACTCGCATGGCTGCCCATCCGGTGTGCAGACCCCTCCCACGCTCACACCTTGCAGCCTTTTTGCACTGGTGACCGCACTTCGCAGCAGTACCTTAATGCACCTCACCCTTACCCCCACTGTCCTTCACGTGGGCTGGGGCGAAGAAGCCTTCATGACATTGGAAGCGAATGGTGGTGGTCAAGAACGGCTTGGATCCGTTTTACCACGTGGCATCACACAGCCAGTACCGGATTTGCCTACAAGAGTGTGTGTGTTTCTATGATGGAGATGGCTACGCGGCCTCCCCTTTTCCACACGGCTGTTGGTGAGCGGTGCCGCGAAGCCGGGCCGTGCGCCCGGGCGCGTCTCCACACGGCCGCCGATGACCGGTGCCGCGGAGCCGGACCGTGCGCCGGGCGCGTCTCCACACGGCCGCCGATGAGCGGTGCCGCGGAGTCGGGCCGTGCGCCGGGCGCGTCTCCATACGGTTGTCGGTGAACCGTGCCGCGAAGCCGCGGGATTACGCCGTGAGCGTGGCAGAGCACGGCCGACTCGGAGCTGGCAGGCGGATGCTGTTAAGCTCGGGCGCCGACTCCGGGCCCAGCCGGGCTCTCTTG